CATTCAAGGATCGTGTTCCTTTCAATTTACAGTATCAACAAGAATCTGTCTGGACTTCACGTTAACGGTATGTGCAGATTTTCTCGAATCGTCACAGGGAAGAATTTGCGATGTGCTTCAGTGTTTGTCTCACACGAATAAATTCTGGCACATTCTTCAGACTTTCGCTCCTCTTCTTCTCCTCCAGCTCGTACTGCAAGACAGATATGTGTTGTTGGATGTCCTCTCTAACGATTCAATTTTAGTCAGCATGCAAATATTCAAAAAGTATACGCATTATTGTAGAATTCCCTGCATCTTTTTTTTTTTGCTTTTTTAAAAAAAATCAGAGTACTTACAAATTGCATTCTCTGCTGCCGTATACGTAGCTTCACCTCCAAGTCAGAGGGAGGGTGGAGAGCCAGCTCCTGGTTTTTCTTCTGTCTCTGTTTTTGTTCGAGGACACACAGCAGCTCTGGCTTTTTTCTTGGCAGTACACCTCTGAGGGCACAATAAAAAAACTGATAGAAGACGTGTCTCTAGATTAAGACAAACAAGAAGACCATAACATTGAATTCCTGATGTGGTTCTTATGAGTAAGTGCAGAAAGGTTACCATTAATGCAACAAATCCTTTGTTTTGTGTAGGTATATACAGAATATGGGTGTCTATAGTTAATAAAACTTTTAAAGTTATTTTCTTCTACCTGCTCCTTTTCACGCATGGTTGCAATGTTATATCAAGGGAAAGCATGGTTTGTGTGTATGAAAGGACAAAACTGTTGAAACTATTGAACCAAGTGTGAAATAAAGAAATAAATGAAAGTTTATTAGAAATCTTGTTTAAGCACCACAAATGTCGTTGATTGTGTTACATTGATTATTTTGTTCTTTCTCAGACTTGAGAGCGAGAACACTCAGTGCTCAGTGCTGATCCCTCAGCAGGGGTCAAATGGGCATTTAACTTTTGACTTGATCCACATTAAACGCCACCTAAGCATACTGCTAATCCACGGCTGCCACAACTCCAGCCAGCGGGAAAAAGGTTAATTAAGAGGATTCTCCAACGGACAAATGTTTGAACACTAATAAAATACTCAGTGTTTTTAGTAAAGGTACTATAACATGAAGAACAATTCAGTGCAGAACTCAAGTAGACAATGCGGAGTAACATTTGTGAACAGCACCTGCTACCTGTGTCAGTGTTTTCTCACCGTCTGTGGCAGAATAGCAGCTCTTGATGGAGAGCTCTGTGTTGGTGGGAAGCCAGGACGGGATTTGGCAGCTTTCTGGGTTTAATGAGGTCACTGTCCTCCTGTTGTTGATTTTCAGTCACCTGGTGAAATGGGACCATCCAGCACTGATGTCTGCCTGATACACATGATAACAAGCCAGTGCAATTTATTCAGTGTACACAATACTACAGCCTATGTTTACAGCAAGATATTCATGAAGTAAACTAAAACTAGTTTCTATCACGTGAAGTGAAGCTCGTTTGTTTCTTTAGATTCACTCAAACTCCATGAGCTTCACTTTCATCAAACTTTAATCTTACCTCTTTTATTGTGGATGCCCATTTTATGTGGTACCTGAATGAAAACCAGGGGTAATTATGTGAATTATGAAGTGCAACACAAACAAAACAAAATGTAAAAATGTGCATATGAGCATATTTAAACATTTGATAAAATAAAGTCAGACTGGTTATTAGATATTCTTAAATCACCAAAAAGGTAAATAGATTTCTCTAGTGTGAATCAATTGAAGCCTAAATTTAGGATGATTATTATTATGCAATCTAAACTGTAAAATCTAGTTGCGTAACACCTTTTTTAGCTAAGTATGCAAAAGCTCGACACCCTTCCTGTTAAAGGGAAAACAACCCCCCCCAAAAACTCTTAAATACATATAAATTGTATAATATGGCATTTAAATATAAATATAATTGATAGATTCACTATTTAATTTCAAACACATAAATAAATAAAAAAAAATTAAAAGAAAAAAACATTATGATGCCATGACTAACTTTATGTATCACAAAATTTACATGATCAAAAAGGAGTAGGATGAAGTTCACACTTCTTTGATCCTACGCCGCTTAACTGTCGAATAATTTACAAACCAGTGTTCATCAGGCAGCAGACATGTATAACTGATAAATAATCAATTTTAATTTCAAACCCTGAACCTGAACTCGAGTTCGATTCAGTTGGATTCAATTTTCTTCACACAGGGCCGACTGACAACAACAGTCGCCTCCAGGCACTTTCTATTGTAAAGTAATGACCCTACAAAGATGTTGCCAGATTTAAATGATCACGTTTAGCTACATGAACTATGCAGCTGCAAAATGAATTATGAAGAAGTAAAGAAGTAACTGGTTAGTATTGATGCTTGCTTCTGCCAAATAAAGAAACATAATTTTCCATCCATTAGTGAAAATCTTAACTATCTAAATTTTTTGAGTTAGGTTTCTCAAAAATTAAAGTAAGTCGATTTAATAAATTGAAATTTTGTGAATTTTGTGACTCCTAACTCAAAATAAGAAAAATTAATAGATATAATTATTTTATATCTCTATATATTTTATTTTATTTATTTATTTGGCAGAAATATGCTTCCATACACCAGGATGGTAACTCACATGCACTTACTTTTGATAGATATCTTTATCTATAATCCAAATAATTAATTCAGTTGTTCCTTATATGGTTTTCCATTTAATAAGAACTCACTAATCATAATTGCATAAAAGCGATCAATGAAACCGCCTTACCTGGGTGGTCAGGTGGAGAAGCATTGATGAACAGATGCAAAGGAGAGACTGCTGAGCTGTGTTCCTCAGAGACGAATGCACCGGAGGAGGAGGACGGCTTTGTTTTTGAGAGCGGGGTGCCCCGTGCTCTGCAGCCGGAGCGCAGATGATCAAACAGGTGCCACGCTATCAAATCTCATTAACTGTCTTATGACTCTTTGTTTCCTTCAGGGGAGAAACTTCTGTTGTCTCAGAGCAGCAGCATATGCAGGGATTAGGGCAATTCATTATAGCAATAATGAAAAAACACTGCCAGCAAAATAAAGATGGCTTTTTGTGTCTTTTGCTCTGTTATTACACACAGTGATGGGAATATTCAACGCTCACATTAAAGTGTTAAACCTATGAGTCTATAATGCATTTTTCTTTGTTGTTAAGGTGCATACTTTTACCCTACCCTCATTAAATATATTATTAAATATATAAGCATAAGACATTTAATTAAAGTAAAAAACAGGCTAATCTAAGACTGACACAATGAGCCAGTGAGTGTAGAAATGTAGGGATTACCCATCTGTGCAACACAAGTGTGTTTTTATAGGTGTCTATATGTTGTCACCGTGACAACATTTCTGTCTTTTCCATGTCTAGGATATTCAAACATCACCGAGTCTGGACTCATGGTTTTCTCATCAGTAAAGCCACACACTACGTGCTTCAGAGGCTGACTTGCACCTCTAATTCTCAACTAAGAATGTTTTTTAATGTTTTGTGTTATGTATTTTACATATATACATAATTTTTTATTTTTGTTCAGGTTTTCACATCATGTGTTAAGCACTGTGACGCCACTCTGCCTAAATCTGACTGAAGCTTTCTTGTAATTGATTTATTTGACGGGGGCAAATGATGTCAGCTCACTGTAGTGTGGGTGGAAGCTCACTTTAATCCTCATCCTTCCCTCTGCTGCTGCATAAGGTGCGTCCAGGTTTACAGCTGCAGCAAAGTCAGCCTTTTTCTCCAGTTTGTTCATTGTGCCTCGACATTCCACCCATATTATTTCCCTACGGGGAGCAGTGTGCTGGCCACAAGAAACAACCAATAAAAACATGCCTTGTGCTGTATTGATTGTTTTTTACTGGTGCATTTTTCTAATGCTATAATAATTTATTACCTCTCTGTAGAAGCACAAGGTTAGAGCTTATCATGTTTACAAATATCTCTCAGCTTTGTTGCCTTGGTTGTGCTGCATTAAGAAGAGTTTATGAGAAAGTTTGTAGAATATTATTTAAGTGATTTTATCCCTACATCAAAGAACTAGAGAGGTACTTGGTAAGCACATGAAATTTTAATATTAGACAAAGATCACCCAAGTAAATACAAAATACAGGACCCAAACTCTCACCAGGCCACAGAATATTTTTCTAGAGTCTTGGGGATCCTCAAGACCTTTGTTCTTACATGGTTGATATTTTTGCACAGTGTCGTTCTTACTGTTGAATCATGAACTCTGACCTTGAATCATGAACCCTGTAGTTCTTCAATGTTGTTCTGGATTATTTTATGACTTTCTGCACAAGGTGTTGATGTGATGTGGTCTTGGAGTAATTTTAATAGACCAGCCACATTTCATATTGCAACACAGCTCTCAGCATGGTTTGGTGGAGTTTCAAAGCCTTAGAAATTGCTTGTCCAGATTGACTGTCAATGACTTTGTTTTCAAAGTCCTTGAAAGTTTCATCTTTTCTTGAGATCAGGGCATGATGTGAATCTGTTTAACTGATTTATTGATTCAGCAGGTTTGCCAATAATCAGGCCTGTGTGTGGCTTGTGAAACTGAACTCACCTTTCCAAAACATGTGGGTAATCACAGTTAATTCACAATTTAACAATGGTGAGCAATTACTTTTTCACATAGGGTCAGCTTCGGATAGGGGTTTTCCCTTAACAAATGAAATTATAATTTAAAAGCTCAATTTGAAAGTAGTTGCAGTGTTGTAGATGTTTCTCTTTGCATTACAGATATCAATCAAGAAATTCAATTGGGGATATCTAAATCTAATTTTAAGAAGTCGAACTTGATGGGTGAGTGAAATTGTAATTTTTCATTTCATATTTTGAAAAATAAAAATCCGATTTCCACAAGTAAAAACTTCTAGTTGCATCCTAATTGATTACAAGTTTAAAGGGGCGTTTAAAACTGTAAATTTGAGCTCTTAATCAAATATGCCAGTAGGTGGCACTAACGCTAACTGAACAGCAACAGTGTGAAGCGTAGAAGAAGATTTTAAGTCAGGGAAACGGAAATGTCAGCCGAGTGACTGCATAATATCTCTACTTTAAAATTTAGGATGGAATGCTAGTTTAGAGGAACAAACCGTCATATAACATCGTCAAAGAAAAAGCTGCGAATATGACAAATGGTAGGTTTTCCGTGTTTTCCAACTAGCTAGAACTTGTCGACAACAAGCGGGACATGAAGTTAAGCTACTTCTTGGAATTGAGGCTAGTTGAGGCTAGGCTAGTTGTAGACGTGGCCCTGGGTAGCACTGCCACTCTGTTAGCACCAAAACAAACTCTTCACATATTACAGTGCTATAGTACTTGTCTTTCTATTAAATAACAGTACTGTCACAAAGCCTGCTGTGTTTAGTATGAACCTCTTCCTAGCTTCTATTTTTTTGTAAGGTTACACGTATCTATGCTATCAGGCTTTGACTTGTGTGTGGCTGTGGCTAATGCTACAAAAAAAAATTCAGGATAGCCAGGTAGACAACAAGCAGCAACAGCACAGTTTGGTCAAAGGAAAAAAATTCACTGTTAGGCAAAATATACATGTATGCTTCACCACTGGCATAAATATTTGTCTCAATGGTAACTACAGAGAGGAAATCAGACGGTGACATCCATAGTTTTGTTTTGCATACTATATTAATATGACGCTTGGAGTTAGTGGTTGATCAATGTCAATATTTGCTTCCTTATAAAGCAAACCTCTTTGGAGGCTGTGCTGCATTTAAGAGTGTATTTGGTTGTATCTGAACAGAAGTGAGTGATTGTTACTCTGTGCTCTTAGATTCTCTAATATAATAAGTGCATGCAATGCCACTTTTCCCTTTCGATAGTTTATTCATTCGATGGCATCCTTGTCTTCGGGCTGCTTTTTATCTGCACTTGTGCATACCTCAAAAAGGTGCCTCGCCTCAACAACTGGCTGCTGTCAGAGAAAAAAGGAGTGTGGGGTGTGTTCTACAAAGGTAAGTATGATGTAGTATGATTCAGACACAATGACTTCCCCCTTTTCTTTTTTATATGCTTAATATTAGCAGCCTGCTGCTTTCTTTTTTGTCTTGCACTCTTGTACATATAGTATTTAAATTAAACAATGACAACACGCAAGGTTGGTTGATAATAAATAGATCACAAATACTGGCCCCTCTTTCTCAGAACTCCTCATCTTCTTACTATAATGATCATAGTGTATGTATGCATGTCCTCCTAGTAGCATCAATCAATCTGGATGAAATATACTACATAAACTGTCTAGGGTTACAGGATTATTAATATTTATATAGGTTTTGGGATTTATTTAACTCTTAAATCCTTCCAAATTATTGATTAAACTACATATTACGTATTACACTGCATATTAAATATTATATGTAGTGGCTGACCTCAAAACAAATGGCAACATTACATCTTTGTTACAATGTATGATGTTGTTTGTATATGCATTTTTGTTAAACTAGTTTTAGTGGTGTGGCACATTGGAATATTGTCATACATATCTGTTAATAAGTAAATCTCAAAGAATTACATTAATAGTGCGTGCAATTGATTACTTTGTCTTATACAATGAATGTGTAGCTTATAAAGAACAACAATGAAAAATGTGTTTTTATTACTTATATGTTTGATATTAATGTGCAGCCATTTTTGCCTTCTCACTATATACAGAGATATAATGGAGATTTAAAAAAAAAGAATAATAACAAATTCGTACATGAACACACAAGCGCTGAAAAGCGGACAAAAACTGCCTGTAGTTTAGGGTTTTGTTAGTAAAGGTAATAACAGTTCAGCTGTTTGGCATTTACAGTTTTATTATGTCATTATAAACAAAGGGAAATAAATGCAAGGCCAGCTTTATTGTACTGTTTGACTGGAAGAACTTTTCCAGTTTGATGTAATACCTTCATTTCTCACGCACTTATATTGTCAGATTAAGCAAAAATGACTGAATTTCCAGACAATCTAGTATGTCACAATATCCACTGATATTTCAGCTGAAGATCTGACTTTATGTCTGATGCTTTCTTCTTGTTTTAACTCATCTTATCTCGTTCTCAGCTGCAGTAATTGGGACAAGGCTTCACATCGCTGTGGCAGTATCTTGCCTGGCCATGGCCTTCTACATTGTCTTCTTAAAATGATGGTGAGGCTAGATGGGAAAGGACAAACTTTTCAGAGAGGGGATGGACTCATCTCTGCGGTCACGTTTTAACCCTTGTTGTTGGGACACCTTTTGGATTCTATGACTGATGAACCCCCGCTGGACCTTTGGACCCATGTGAAAGTGAAGTCAGTGCTGCCCCCTTCTGATGACTGGGTACACAGCTTCTACCTTAATATTATGTATGCACTACAGATGTGAAGTACTCCACAGTTATTTCAGTGGAGGGAGAGTGCTGGGTCACATGGTAACATTCTGTTGTTGGGTAGTACTGTCTGACGTCTCCATCCACCCCACGTAATAATTAATACTGAAGGATGCAGAAGATTGAAGGGCTGTGTGTGCATTATACCTTACACCTGTATACAACTTAAAAATAGCCTACCTGTGTATATTTGGAAATAAACATAACGCTAGTTATTTGCTAGGGGTTACATGTGATCAAAGTGAAAATGATCAACTCTGCTCATGCCCAGCAACTCTTTTTTTTTTGTTTGTTTGTTTGTTTCTTCTGTCAGTGGTGGAGGGAAAGATAAAAGCTAATATATAAAAATGTCCATGTGTACACTTTTATTTACTTTTTTGGATCTCCCATGTTAACATTTTTTAGGTTAGAAAAATACAGATTTTAAATAAGTGTATGTTGTATATACTTTGTTATCAAAATGTGTACTGGAAAACATGTTTTAAATGTCACACATTAGACTGTAATTAAAATTCTGTCAAAACTCTGGAGAAACGAGTAGTACCTGCAACAGATGAGGCATATCTCAAAAATTTTGCAAAAATGTGTTTGCCGTGTCTTGCTTGAAGACTTACAAGCAATGCCAAATAGGGATGGTGCTTCTCATGCCATTTTAAATGTATACTGCTGTTACGACTTCATTTCTGTCACATTATTTCTATTCTCAACAAAAGAGATTGTTTTGGGAGGGAATGCAATGCAATTTTAAGTAAAATGTTGATCATACAATTTCTATGTATTGTTGTCTTTAAAAAAAGTTTATCTGCACGGATTAGCCACTTTATTAAATATGCCTGTTCAAATGTTAAATGTACATATCTAGTTGGCCAATCTCATGGCAACAGTTTAATGCATTGAAGCATGTCAAGGTGAACTGCTGAAGTTCAAACCCGCCATCCGAGTGAGAAGAAGTAGCATGGTATATGTTGCCAAATGGGTTGGTCTGAGTATTTCATAAACTTCTGATCTGCTAGGATTTTCCTCATGTTTGAGACTATTCTCTCTAAACGGTCTAAAGAATAACCAGTGAGTGGCAGTTCTCTGGGTGAACATGAATTGTTGATACCAGAGGTCAGAGGAGAATTACCAGACTGGACTGAGCTGGTGGCTAGTCAACAATAACTCAAAAAGCTACTCATTACAACCAACAGAAGATAATACATGGAGCCTTGAAGCAGATGAGCTACAGCACCAGAACACCACACCAGATGTTATAAGTTTGGCAATATAAGATTGGAAAGATGGCGCTTAGTATGAGGAATCATAGTTCCTGCTGCATTATTCAGATGGTACGGTCAGAATTTGATTTTAAAAATATAAGCAAAGATCCATCCTGCCTTGGACTTGTATTCCAGGCTGCTGGTGTTGTAATGTGGTGGGGTATATTTTCTTGGTTCACTTTGGGCTCCTTAATACCAAATGAGCATTGTTTAAACACTGTAGCCTACCTGTGTATTTCTGCTGATGATGTCCATATCCTTATGACCAGTGTATCCACCTTCTGATGACTGCTTCCATGTCACAAAGCTCAAATCATTTTCTTGAACGTGACAATTACTGTACTCAAATGGCCTCTTCCAAAACCTTGCTGAATCTGTACAATTGCAAATTAAACTAGTTCTGAAGAGAACAGGGGGTCCAGCCCAATACTATTAGGTTTTACCTAATAAAGTGACCAGTGAGTGTATAAAGTATATTCACCCCTGTCCTTGTGTTTTTTTTTTCTTTTTGTTTTCCATTGTGATACAACTGTAGTTTACATCAGCTTTGCACATCTTGCAACCTACCTGAGTTTTGCCCTGACAACATTTGCATTTTTGACTCTGTTTTCTGTCACTCCTGTGCAGTAGCACGGTTCTTTTTAAAAATCTCTGTCGTCATATTTGGGATCTGAAGTCATTTCTCATGAGGTAAGGTGACTTTTTCCCCCTCAATATAGCAGTGTTTTTGCTGGTTTCATTTTTACCCACCAACGTCTGCTGCAGAAACCCCCCAGCAAAATCCCCCCAGCAGCATTGATGTCTTCAGCATGTGTCATGAGGGATAACTGTGTGCTGAGGCTAGTGTAAAAAGTTTGCACCGAGTTTGTAGATCATTCTGGTTCTGTAAGACCACTAACCCCCAGCACCTAGTGAACCTTGTACCTCTTTACACGTGTCACACGCCTTTCAGTGTCTTTTGCCACCAATGCCCTCTCTGTGAACATTCTCTGTTATTAAAGGCAACCTTCAGCAGATAAGTTATTATCTGTAGGAATATGCCTTACTTTCTGTACTTTGAGGGACATGAAGTCCTTTGAGAGTTGTCTGATACTTTTACTGTGATAGGAAGGAAAGCACAGGTGGAATTTGTATTTCCAATCCTGGCGTGGTCTATTCTGAGTTATGACACTGTGATTGTGAGTCAGCGTGTTCGTTAAAAGGGCACTAAAACAGAAGTTGACCATCATTCATGTTATTATTTGTGTGTCTGCTTTTCTTGTTATGAGTGATAGACCTTTAGTGACATGTGAACATTTAGAAATACCAAATTTGCTAATAAACAATCTTGGACTTTCCAGTGTAATTAAATTCAAGCAGCTGTCACACCTTATTGACATACAGGTGGTGTCAAGGTTCATTTGCAATCAGGTATGCAGCTAGTGAGAGCAAGCCAGGTTTTGCTTGGGGGCATTATATAAAGGGCCTAAATGCTGTGCTTGTTTAACCAGTCAGGACTCTATAATTAAGTAATGGTCTGGCATTAATACCACATTAATAAAGTATTATTAAAGTACCACAGTGTAAATGAGCTATGTAGCAGGGAAACGGTACTACTCAGCTAAAGATGTCCCCTGTGAGTGTTATATTGCTCATGTATATTATCAGATATTCCTATTGTTTTTAACTTGAAGCAGGATCTCTCTCAGATCTCTCTCAGATGGTTAAAACGGAGCTCATTTGCTCATCTGATAACTATTTTCATACTTGTATGTTCCACTGCCTGACGTAAACATTTAAAGAGGAGAAACGTGTCGCAATTAACATAACGGGAGGGGGAGATTCCCGCTCCTGTACACGGTGGGGATGGGATATCCCCTAGTTTCCCAATAGCGGCCAACTTCTCGCGAGATACATTTATCGCTACGTGAGCGCGCACTGGCTGACGTAGGAGCGAAGAGACGTACGCGTACACGTTTCCGCGCGCCCAGCAAAGCGGGGACAGGGCGAAAAATCCAGCGAAAGCCAGACTGAGCTTCCTGACCCCAAAGAGCTTCGTAGGGGAAGTTATCTTCAGACGGCCCTCCCGGCGTGCACGGAGAAGTGGGATTTTACCTGCGCAACTGCACCGAAATTTGCACGACAAGGCGGCTGGAGTTTTTTGTTTTGTTTTGGGTTTTCTTTGCTTTGTTCGGGGTCGGCTCCGTGTAGAGTTTTATTGCAGAGCAGCATCACTACCGCACGTCGTGCCGCACAGGGAGGAGAGGAGAGGGCAGAAGTTTCCGCTGGCTTGTTTTGTCACTGCGGGGCTGGTGAATCCGCAGGAATGTCGCAGAAGGAGAGACCCACGTTTTACCGACAGGAGCTCAACAAAACCGTGTGGGAAGTCCCGGAGCGCTACCAGAACTTATCTCCTGTCGGTTCCGGTGCTTACGGATCCGTGTGGTAAGTTGTTGTTGCACAGCAGAAGCGAGCGAGAGAGCTAGTGCACACACACACAGCGCGATTGCACAACGACCAAACGACTTCCCACCAACCACAGTGGCCCGGGAGAGCTATCTGTCGCCGGGCTGCTTAAGCAGCCTGCGCAGGGTGTCCGTGGAAGACACGGGGATATAACTTGTGTCCTTTGTTTACGTCCTAATACTCGGGCCGCGGTAGCTCAGCCGTGCACACTCCCCACAGTAGCTCGCATTTTTTCGGCGGGTGGGGATTGTTTGTGATTTGTGCACGTTTTTTTCTGACTTTGTTGCTTTACTTTCTCGTGTCGCCTGAACAGCCTGGTGTAACTTGTAGCGTACGGTAAGCACAGTGATGGCCCCAGGGCGAAGTTTAACTGCTGCTTTGAAAAAAACAAATCTTTTATCAACAGAAGGCTACATGTGCGGCATGTCTATGCTTGCATCATCTGGTTTAAAAAAAAGAGAGAAAAGGAAAAAAGGTGGTGGTGGTGAGGGGTTTCTTCCTTATCAGATCACATCTGTAACAATTACACAGTTTAAGGGTTAACCAGGACGTCACGAAGCACGCGTTTTCCACTTGAAATAATTGCCGTGTTGCTGTATGTGCCGCCTGGCACTTTACACATCCGCACATTGCATATATTATGCATTTCTAGTTGGGTGCAGCCTGCAGAGTACCAGAACGTCACGTGGTTTTCGGAAAGTAGGCCCCCCTCATGCACAGTGAGCGCTTTCTACAGGAGCCCATCCGACGACGTCGATGACTCTAGAATGATGTCATCCTTTCGCCCGCTGTGGTACACTCATGACTCACGGTCCCGAGGTTAGGTAGTGGCATCAGCCCTGACGCCTTCTAGTCAGTACAAAGTCATGGACAGCAGCGGGTCGTAATTACAACTTTACAACTCATTTTGGCCGCACTTTCATCTCTTCAGCTGTTGACTGTAAAGGTTGTTTTTTTTGTGCAGTTTTTAGTGGTGGATGGTGGATGACCTCATTTTGTCCTTAAGACAATAACTGGGTTTGGAAGCACCAGTGACAAAGCCAAATGCAAGGCATATGTTCATAGATGACCATTGAATGAGGCTTATTCTTGTTACGAATTTAAAATGCATCACTTCCAAGGCAAAATGTGAGCACTGCCATAAGCAGTTAGTTTTTGAAAATTCCTGTGGGTTTTTTTTTTTGCTTTTTTTCTGTAAGGAGCTGTCAGCTTTTCTTGTGGAAAACCTTTTGCGTAATGCAACTTCCCAAAAACAAAAAAGAATAAAAAATCTGCAACTAGAGTGGTCCAGAGAGCAGTGTGCCTCTAAAGCCCTTCAGATGGTATCTGGAAAAATATAAATAACCTCATAGCTCCTCCACCAACATGTCACGGCTGTTGGTTAGCTGGGCACATGCTCCCAGGCACTCAGCGGGCCAAGTCTTTGTTGTCTCCACCATAATGTTGCTTGAGTTCTCCACTCAGTAAAACAGCCACAGGCATTAACTGTGTGGATTTTTCATTTGAATTGCCTGATCAACTTTGCACTCGCATACACCAAAGATAATAACACTACTGATATCTACTTATATCTTGGCTGTACTATTTTTTGAATGACAGACTTGAATGGATAGCCAGGGCTGGTGTGGAGTAATAGCTGCTGGCTGGGATTTCAATGTGTCCTTGCACTTTTATTTGTAGGCTTCCCAGCTAAGGGTGTGTGTAGGTACTTTAACACAGGGCAGAAATATTCTTAGCCATAGATAAAAAGAAAAGACAGCCCAGTAAAGAGCACGCTGCTCAGTATCACAAAGCTTTTTAATTTTTTTACATATGTATGTTGTAATGTCAGTGTTGTGCAAAGACATACTCTCAGATCCGCAGATTCCCGTTTTCATGGTCACTCTTTCAAAGCATGCTGAGATTAACACTCGTTATTGACAGGCCTAAACTGCTTTTGGCAAATTTGGAACCTAAAGTTTACTCGGCACAGCTCCAGCTGATAATGCAGAGTAAACTCTGGCTCTGCTTACACACATTTCTTATTCATGAAGTTGAAATTCGACCTAAATGATTCTGTTTATATTTATTAAGCTGCAAGTTACAGCTTCAGAACTTCTTTACCTGGAATGATGGCTTTATGTGCTCCTGTTTTTTTTTTTTGTTTGTTTGTTTGTATGGTTTTTTTTTTTACATTGTCAGACAGCATTTAGTGTTTCATATTTTGCTGATGAAAAAAGAATTGCACAAGGCTCCTTGGGTTGTCACTTCAGAGAAAAGTGCAATGATTTTTCAGCTTGTGCCCAAAAGCAGCAATTTTGTGACTTTGGTTTTAGCAGCTGGTCATGTGAGGTCTATGACCAAATGCATCAGTGATGTCAGAAAAGTAAACCCCCTCATTTTGGTATAAAGTTATGGATTAGAGTTTGAATCCCTAAAACACAAATACGACTTTTTGCAGTTTTTTTTTTTTCCCTCCGACAGCTTTAGCAAGCAAAATCATGGTCTGAATGTCCTGTTGTGCCAAATCTCTGTAGTTAACACTTGCTAGTCAATTTCTTTAGATTTTAAAAACATACTTAAGTTTTCCAACTTCTAAAATTACTTTGATTTGTGAGTGTGACTAGGTGATAGAGTAGACATAGGTGAGTCAACCCCCGACCCCATCTGTAGATCTGTTAACTGAGCAGGTTTGTGTTAATAATGCCATTGATAAATCAATTAAACGATGATGATTGCTATTATTAGCTGGAATATGGCTCTAATGAGATTATTTCAAAGATCAAGTAAACACGATAAGCATGGTGTAACGTCACCAGATCATTAAGTCACCCCACTTTCCATATTTATTATATCATTTAATGTCTAACATTGATGTTTGAGTGGCCCAGAGGAAATTAAGCCTTATCGCAAGCACTGCTGTGCCTTATGTCATTGTGTGCGCATATTAAAACACTTCCTGCACCACAATGCACTCATCATGAACTGATGATTCGTCCCCAGCTACAGGAAAGCTTGATGATGACGATGATGATTGGGAGTGTGGCGTTGACTGCGTTGCTGCTCTGAAATGCAGAATCAATCATCAGAACTCACTCTGCTTCTCACCTATTGTTTTACTGGCTTTTCAGGACACGGTGTCCTGCATGACTCTGTCGTCTTACGGTTGCTTCCTTTCGTGACTGTGTACTGAGGATTATGATGCATTGTTGTTCCTAACAAACATACAGGTTAGATGAGGTTCTTTTTTGTTTTGCAGAAAGAGGTGTTACTACCATTTCTCGTTTGACCTGCGCTAAGGTGAAGTATGTGGCTCAAAGTGTTAATGCAACACAGAGAGTAAAAATTGTAATGTGTCCTGTTGCTATAATTCTGAGTTTAATCCGTGTCAATTATTTCACCAATAATGAACAGGTCATACGTTATGGCTCGTTACTTAAAATGATACTGCGTGTGGTAAGATTTGGCAGTGCCGATCACGTTGATGGCGTACACGAACCCCGTCATGCTCTGATATGAAATCCAATGTATACATGTATGTGCTCAGATAAAGAGTGCACAAATGCAGCGTTCCAGCTTTCTCGATGCACGTGCAAGTCTTACGATTATAAGAGAGTTACTACAGACATCTCGACGACTCATCTACAGCACATATTTGCCTGTTTGCTCACTCTGGCCTTCTGTTAGTCAGCGTGCTGCTTCTCTACTTCCCTGTGAAGCTGTTGCTCCTTTTTTAGTCTACGCTTTATGGCCATTTCTTATGGCAGTTCCATTTACTGCTGACTAATTGGATAGTGTATGCTTAGACCCATCTTGTTTGCCCTACAGATTAGCAGCAGTTTGAGTGCGTGTGCCTTTGTTTTGCCATTTAGGATTGGTACACTGTTTACTGACTATGGGTTTTCCCTCACTGCTGACACATTAAAGTTGTTCTGCAAGCCTCTGACATGGAGCACATTGGGTGTGGAAGATTATCTCAGCTTTACTGGAAAAAACGCAGTGCTTATCTTAATGTTCTTATTATGGATGTGTTGCACTCTGGGTTATAGCTTTGTCATTCACACAGAATCAGTTTTAACACTTCTCCTGTGCGTGGCGTTGCACTCTCAGCCATAGGTGTGTGCAGTTAAAAGGTCGACAGTTTGAGCAAAGCATTTCAAGAGAAACTGACTCCCATATCCTTTTAAACTGAAAGGCAACAGAAAAACTGGCCCGCTAGTCTAGTTCTGGTGGTTTCCTTGTGTCACTCCATGCAGTTCCTGCTTTTTGTTTTAGTTGGTCTGCGGTGTAAAAATAACAACAACGAACGCACATATGGGAGCACAGATTTAAAGATGTTGCAATCATCTATGCACGATGTACCGTATCTGACTGACCTGGAAGGAATGTGGTTAATTGTAAGTAGGTTGCCTTCCCTCACAGATAAAGGAAATACAGCAATGTCAAGCTTCTCTTTCACATTGTCTGTCTAATAATCTTAAGAGTCAATCAGTGCTCAACTATTTGTTATTGTAAATAAGTAAAACACGTTCATTTCACTCATCTTTTTCGTGTCTATGCTTTTTGGCGTCTACATTAACCATTACCAGAATTGAAGAAAAATAAAGATCTGTGACATCTCCATCACATTTACCAGGCAGTCGCTAATTTTGAGTTTGCTCGAGTTAAATGAGATATCCAGCACATTGAACCGTTTTGAATTAATCAGCTGTTGAATGTTGACAGTTGTGTAGACAAAAGAGGAAATTGAAGCCACACACTTAATTATAAGACCTTTTTCTTATGTGTTTTTTTGTGTGTGTTTTGTTCCTGTTACATAAAATGATCTGTTTTGCTGTCTTCCTGTGATAAAAATACTACTAATAATGTTTTGACAGATTGGGCCTTCAAAAAGACGTCAGCCTTGCTTTTTTTGAATGACTGGGGAAAAAAAGAACCAATTCTCCAAATAGAGCTGCAATAACAGACTTTCAGTGGTCAGTCACAAGTGGTTGTGGACATCTTGTGCAAAGTCAGACAGTCAGCTGGGTTACATTAATGTTAGAACACTCTGTAGCATGTAAACAACAGTTTACAGCAGCTCTATAATAGATGAATGTTTTACTCTATCTGGAGACTGCTGATCATCAACCAGCATGTTGTGCAGTTAATTGTTTTTCAGTAATTAGCTGCTGTATTTTCACACTCCTGTGTCATTGCCCACCATGCTGCTGATATTCGAGAACAGGTTCAATCGTGTTCCCTATTCAACTTTAGACTGTAGAGTGTAATAAGAACTGAAACCAAGCGCTCGGTGTTATGTAAGTATTTGCTTTGTTTACTGCGTTAGACACCTACGCAGTCTAATGAAGAATCTCATTGTCGGTTTGAGAAATGTTTGGGTTTTTTATGTGACAGCTGTTGGTAGCCTGCTGTGATGCATTTTCTTTTTTCTGTTAAGAGCCCACCCGTTTCACACGTTACCTTTCTTTCAGCTCGGCGTTTGATGTGAAGACGAACCTGAAGGTAGCAGTGAAGAAGTTGTCCAGACCTTTCCAGTCCATCATCCATGCAAAGAGGACCTACAGAGAGCTGCGACTGCTCAAACACATGAAGCATGAAAATGTAAGTCACCTACAACTGGGGAAACATCACCTCCACCTCTCAGCAAGTGGCAGTGATTGCTCGCCTCTTTTTCAGTATTTACACAACATTTATTGTGCATTTAACGTCTAAAGGAATTGTGGCATGCAAGTGGACATGGAAAAGCACACGAGGTTTACAAAAGGATCAGTCGCTTTCGTGACTTCTGACCATATCTTTGAGTTGGTGGATGTAACAAGCCTGATCAGGCTGGATTGATGGTGCTTGAGGGGTTAACTTGCTGAAAAATGACGATGAAAGAGTTGAAAAAACATGTAGCTCGTGCAGGAATTCAAAAAAGGAAAGCATGTAAAGACACATCTATAACATAGTGATAAGTGATAAGTCTATGTGGTAGGATATTTCTGCTAGCGTCTGCATTGTTTTGACTTTGAGCCACCTACAAAGAAAGGATAGGTACTCTCAGTTTAACATCACAGCATCTGCATGTCAACTACCTGGAACTGACTACAAAACCTTTCAAAAAACAAGAGTTTAACTGTCATGTTTAAACCCCAGTGTTAGTCCTTCTGGTATTTTCATGTGTCAGCATGAGCAGGCACGGGTACACTGTCCTCAGGCAATAACTGTGTATGCTAACAGGACATCACAACGGAGGTTTTCCCCTGCTAGTGTCTAACGCCTATTGCTTGATGTTGCTTGGTGAGGTATGAGTCACCAAACGGGTTTACATCTGCAGCCCCATCACCTACTGTGGTGTCTTTTTTTTAATCTTATTTTGTAGCTGCAACTTTAAAAAGAAATCTTGCTAAGTATCTCAACTTTTTTGCCTTTGGTGTGAGTTTCCCACCTATAATCACTGCTTTGGTGTGTGTGTGTAGATACTGCACATGCAGACACTTGCCCGCATACAAAACGCAAACATTGTTCCTGGTTTCTGTGCTGTTGCTTCATCCGGGGTTACGCTTTTGACCAGAGAGACAGGATCTTTATGTGTTTTGAAATGTGAGCAATTATTTCTCAAGCTGGCGTGCAGATGAAGGCTTTTTGAGTGCTGTGTGGAAACAAATCCACCTGGTGAATGTTGTATATGAGTTTAAATATTTCTAGAAAAGAGGGAAGTGTACAGTGTGAGAAGAGGTAGAAATATTTAGATTGCCACAATATATGCAAGTGGACTTTATGAGATATCATCTGCCAGCAGCAGCTGTGAAGTGAAAATTTTCAGAAGGCACGCTCACAGAGGGAAAAAAAAGAAACTTTAGCTGTAAGAAGCATGGAAAGTCTTAAAGGGGAAAACCCCCTAACAACAGTACAACAAATCTCACAGTTAAATGAAAGCCCATCTTGTAAAGTTACGGTTTAATGTAATATTAGCTGTATTCTGCACTGTTTAATTAGCTTTAAGAACTCATTGCAGGCGCTCACAGAATTCATGCAATAAGTGTTGAGCAACTCTAGAAGCTATCACAACACACGTTGGGTAGTCTTTCTAATAAATGACAGCTATGAAGTCATTAAATGGAAGATCTGATTTGGGATTGTTGCTACTCAGAGTGTGCCTGTTTGCTCTGATTAGAAGCTGCTGTGCAGAAGTTATTCAAATCTTATGGAAATGTGAGAAAGAAGCGCACCTTTTAGCTTGCCTTACATGTATTTAGATGAAAGGCCACCTGGAAGAAATGTACACAAGAACACACCAGATCACCGTAAAAAAAAATCCAGGTCTCCTTATGTTGTGAAAAAAGTTTCATATGAAACGTCATCGCCCATGCCAGAACTTGCTGTGGTTCAGTCCGAGCGCGCTTGGCTCAGCATTCGCACATTACTGTATTTTTTTAAAATTCTTTCTTAGATCCTGTTTTTTGTACAAGCCCTGATTTCACTTCTGTTACAACTCGAGCAGTTTTGTTGCGCTGTGCGCTGGCACTGTGGGGAAAAACACATCAGTGCATTTGAAAAACAGGTTTTACGAGGAATACGGATTATGGAGGATTATACAGAGTCCGTGCCTGTATTGCTGTGTTGAAGGCAAGACGGTAACGTCGCGTAGAAATGTCATTCTGATAAAGAATCTCACTTATCTCGGCGTGAACATGCTGCTGCCAGGTTTTTTGTTGTACTAACAGGAAGAAGAAAAAAAAACATCAAGTTGCGGTGGTTTTCTGTTCATAAATCATCTGTGCTTTAATACATATCTGTGGCTTACATAGGGAGGGATTCTGTGTTTTGCTCATGCTGTTGCCAGGAGACTCCCCGAGTTTTGAGTTTGGAAAGCCTGAGTGGACCAATCGGCTGTTTGTTGTGGCCGTGGCCCACCAATCAGCTGCAGATTTAGGTCTTGTGTGGGTGGGCCGCTCCAGTATTTTTACAATACCTATCTACCTCAGTTCCCCTGACTCCAGGGGGTGGGGGTAGCACTCAGGGCTGCTCTCTGCCAGTATGTCTGCATGCATGTGTATATGCATGCCTGAAGTGTGTGTACAATACACGTACTGCTGAAAGACACATAAATAAGAAGACTTTCTGTTTTTTCTTTCTTTAGTTTATTTTGATGCACCGTGAAGCTGCAGATATTCAACTGTAGTGATTGTATGCATCCATATTTAGTCACTTTCACACATTACGTTGTTTTTTTTTCATACAATCACAAACTTATTGTGCAAGAGACTGTGGAAAGGGGAGAAGGACCCTGCAAATACAGTGTATTCTAGGTTAAAGACTCCAGAACACACCCCATCTCTAAAAGCTTTTGTATTGCTAGAGGAAAAAAAGGAATAATGCATCCAGCATTTATAAGCCATTATAAATAACTTTGCATTGTTGGAACCAGCATAACCGGTTGCATGCAACTTTAACTACCTGAAAGGTGCCTGTGCTGTCAGCTTGGTGGATTATCCTAAATAATGCATCAACCAAATAATGTTCACTACTTCCTTTGAAGAGACGAGGTAACTTAAGCACAGCACCTAGCGCTAACACTAAATTTAACATAAATCAGCAACAAATTCTTTGCTTATTATTGTTGTTTTTTTGTTTTTTAATTATTATTATTGCTATACTGTGCATTATACATTGTTTCCTATTAGGGTTTGGAATTGATAAGAATTTAGCGATTTGATTTCTTATCGATTCTCAATGGTTTCACTTTGAGACCATCTCTAAGCAGCATATCAAAGACATTACATTCATGCAAATGAATTACATGGATCTTAGAGGTATTTCCCCTCTTTGCTCTGATCGGTGTTGCGTCATTCGTCAAAAAAAGTAAAGTTAAAAAAAGCTTTTACACATATCACACAGAAGACTTTTATTAAAAGTAATGCAGTACGTTAATTACACCCAGGAGAAAGACGTTCGTTATACTACTCATTACGTTACTTTCATTTTACTCTGTAAAATGAACTGAAACACACTGATACATGATTATAATTTAACAGTATAAACCTGCAGGCTAGCTATTCTAATGAGGACAGGTGATCTTTCCCTTTAGTATTTAGGTATGAACACAAAGATGAAAACCAGCACAAAGAGACTTTAAAGCGATTCTACTTTAGAAACACAAACAGGTAGAAAAGGAGGCTGCTGTCTGGCTGCTCATTGCTTTGTTACCTGTTGAATTCAGCATCGACTTTACCGCAAGTGACGGCTCACTTTATCACGGTGCTGGCCGGGTGTCAACATTTACTCAGCTTTAAAATCACTCTGGGTTCTTGGCTAGCTTAGCGTTAGCATTATGTCTGTGTAGGTGCTTGCGAAGAGCCAAAGCTTTGTTAGCAGTATAATGCAGTTGTTTATGCCCTGGAGCAGTCTCCACTTTCCCAACGCGCTCTTATCCTTTTGTGCAATAAAAATAAAAGTAATGTCCATGTCCAAACTGTAGGCAACGCCACAATTTTCCTCCACACAAATCAGCTGATCATAGTGAGAGTGCAAGAACCGATATTATGCAGGCAGACACACAATTCCAAGGATCTTGACTACTTGGAACCGGTTCTCTACAAGAACCGTTCTCAATTTCCATCCCTATTTGCAATCCACATTGCACTGGACCCCTATGGCCCCTCCAGTAGTCTGTGGCCTTATGTGGCCTATTTACGGAGAGCACAGCCAAGGCCCTGTGCCAGGCCCTACCTCCTCTTGGCCAGTCTCCTGGCTGGGACCCCAGTTACCATGATCAGCTGGGATAACATGATCTGTTATTTTGTTTTTTTGTCAGGCAAAATGGCGTTGACAGCCTAGGTGCTGAGATCACTACAGTGCTTAAACCTCTCTTATAATAAGATGGTGATTCAGGGTGGGGTGTTTGCTTATTTAACTAAATTAAACTTCACACACCAACCAGTTGCTAACTGTCTCTAACCTCTGACCTCTCGGTTTTTCCTTCAGGTGATCGGCCTTTTAGATGTTTTCTCACCAGCGACAAGCTTAGAGGAATTTAACGATGTGTAAGTCACTCTTTCTTTCTTTTTTGCTCTCTGCTTTTCTCCTTCTCACTCTTTCAGTTTGTTTATTTTCGTGCTTTCTGTCTCAGCGTCTATAAGCTTCACTTTTTACACAATGAAAGCGTTCGTGCCAGCAGATAATCGCAAGATTACCTCGATAGCCAAAACTAGTTAGAGATGCACGAGGATTCTTAACATCATGAGAGAGCAGCATGTGGCGAGTGGTACCAAGGTGAATGTAGGGTGAACACGTGCTCCTAAGGAACATCACAGCTAGTCTCCATGGTAACAGCCATCTGGCAGTGTATGTGTGCAGAATAGTCAATCAGCGTCCTTGAATTCTCTGCATGGTGTAACGTCATCAGCATGTTGCACATTTGTGGAAATGTGAGATGAACCTCAACGCGATCTCATACACGAGGTGAAGTTTAGCCAAAGACGTGGTGCTTATCTTTTCACGTGACCATTAACGAACACCTCGTTCTTTGACAACGACCTTGGACTAGTGCTGTGTGATTAAAGAGGTCATATATATACTACAATCACTGCTGGCCTCATTCAAGTGGTTTACTTTCTGTTTAAATATTTTGCTGTTGAGAAAAAAAAAGTGTGTTTTTTTTCTGTTGTGTTGTTTTTCTGTTATCATCACTTTAATCTTGCCAACTTTTAAGTTGCCACATTTAGAAATAATTCTTACAGAAAATGATGAATGATTTTTTATCAAAAACACCGTTAGCTGCACTTTACACAGACATGCTAATCTGCAAAAATTAAATCTTTAAAGTTTAAACTAAATAAAGCTGCAGCAGAAATCAAAGAGAGACTTTCCTGAATTATAAGATTACATCTGATTGGCTGTTTGATTTGCAGGTACTTGGTGACACACCTAATGGGTGCAGACCTCAACAACATCGTGAAGTGTCAGAAGCTCACGGATGACCACGTCCAGTTCCTCATATACCAGATCCTCAGAGGCTTAAAGGTCAGCGAGGCCCTCATTTTCAACTCAAAACTGGCTGCTCCTAAAAGTTGACTTGCATTCAATCTGTGCAAAAGCGGTGCCTTGTGGAACCAGGCAAAGCTAGCTCACTAGACCACAGATGCATCTGCATTGTTCTGCGTTTAGACCAGCTGAATTCTAGTTGGCAGCAAGGTTTCTGTGCCACTCTTGTAACTTTTTTTTGTTTTTTTTGTTTTTTTTAAATTTTCTGCAAACAGTGGCAACTCAAAGTGAATGGATAAAATTCAACAGTTCCTCTTTTGCAGATTGTTGCAATGCAGGAAAGAGCAAATGCTGCTCAGTTGAGTCTTAACACAGACTGTAAAAAGTTAACTGGATACAGCTACAGCTAGTAGTATTTGTAATGTGAGCAAACCATGTATGATTACAGCCTATTACACACTTGATTTTGTTGTTCCATGAAAGTGTTATCTTTGTCAATCACTTGTTTACGCCACTTGTTGAGAGCAAGCAGATATGTCAGAGTTGCTGTGATTGTGTTGGTGTAGTTACATTTCAGAGGAGAGAACGGTTTTGAAACTTTGGCTTATATTTGTGGATCTAGACAAAGCATATGATAGGGTGCTAAGAGAGGAACTGTGGTACTGCATGAGGAAGTCGTGATGGTGCACAACATGTATGAGGACAGTGGTGAGGTGTGCAGTACGAGTGACAGAAGTGTTCAAGATGGGGATCAGGGATCTGCTTCGTGTTTGCAGTGGTGATGGGTAGAATGGCAGATGAGGTGTGCAGCAGGGGTGTGATGTTTGCAGATGATAGTGTAGGCTGTAGTAAACATGGAGAGGTGGAGGTATGCTCTGGAGAAGAGGCATGAAACTCAGTAGAAATAAGACAGGATACATGTGTGTGTCAGTGAGGGAGAGACAGGTGTAATAGTGAAGATGTGTAGAGGCAGTAGAGTTAGTGAAGGTGGACAGATTCAAAAACCTGGGGCCAACAATCTAATGCAACAGACAGTGCACAAGAGAGGAGAAGAAGAGAGTGCAGGCAGGGTGGAGTGGGCGGAGACGTGTGTCATGGGTCATCTGTGACAGAAGGATAGCAGCAAGAGTGAAAGGGAAGGTAAGACCTGCTGTACAGTTTTTAGACGGTTGCACTGACGAAAAGACGAGAGGCCGAGCTGAAGATGTTTCAATTTTAACTGAGAGTGACCAGGATGGAGATAATGACCATATCACAAGGACAGTTTCAAGTTGAGCAGTTTGGAGACAAAGCTAGACAGGCAAGGCTAAGCTGGTCTGAGCATGTGCAGAGGAGGGAAAGTGGATACACTGGGCGAAGAATGCTGAATATGGACCTCAGAGAAAATTTATGGACAGAAGAGGAGGCTGAGGCAGATGATTGGCTACGGAGGAAGATGTTAGTGGTATTTCTGAATGATTACTATTTAAAGAAATGTACACTAGTTATGTTGATGTTCTGCTCGTTTTATCGCTTGGGAGTTCAGCTGGTGTACATTTAAAATAACATAAGCTAATACACACTAATGTAAGTGAGGTGTTTTTTGTGACTGCATGCTTTCCGTATGGATGGATGCATTAGCATTTAAATATTTTTATGTTCTTTTCCCCCTACAGTACATCCACTCTGCAGATATCATCCACAGAGTAAGTGATGGCCTCACTGAATGTGTCAGTGTCTGCAAAGAAAAACAGTCCAGTGCTGGTTAAACTGAACAGAACCATTGATGGCACTTTAGCTTTTCTGGATGGTGTTTTATTAAATCTATACACTAGAGCTTGAAGTAATCAGATTAACACGACAATAAAATAAAAATTTGGTTTGGAATGTTTTATGTTTCTGATTGTGGAATAAAAATATAATTGAAGGAATGAGTGCAAAAACAAAAAACATACACAAATGTTTGCAATATGATGACATGTGTAGCAATACCAGCAGGATGTCTCCCTGTTGTTTCTAAATTCTCATCTGGACTCTTTTTTTTTTTTTTCCCCTCTCTCCTCAGGATTTGAAGCCCAGTAATCTGGCTGTGAATGAAGACTGTGAGCTTAAGGTGAGGAGACTGATTGTTTCAGATCCAAGCTTCACCATATGCGATATAACTTGCTGTCGAGCTAAAGGTGCTCAGTCATGTCTCATTTGGTTGTCTTTATGTCGCCTACGCATCGTTGCATCACTCAGATCCTGGACTTTGGTTTGGCACGGCACACGGATGATGAAATGACAGGATACGTAGCCACACGGTGGTACCGTGCCCCGGAGATCATGCTCAACTGGATGCACTACAACATGACCGGTACGCACACTGACATTCAATCATGTTTTGAGTGCAGTTTCATAAAACTGTGTTGAAATAGCTTTTTGGACATCTGTTACAAGTCAAGAGTCATGCGTTTACAATGATGTGGGGGGTTATGTGTGCAGTGATCATACAAGGATACTAAGTTTTTTCTTCTCTGTAAATAAGGAGACAACTTTAGAGAAACTAGGACAGCTTTTCAAGCTTTTCAATTTTCTTGTTTATTCAACATGATGTTTAGAGGCCTTTTCATCAGCCTAAATCATCCACAACAGACGTTTGCCTTGTTGAGTGCCATTTAGTTCTGCTTCACACTTTCTTTACAAAGCATTAAGTGGTGTTGGTGTAAATGGGCAAATAAACGAATGTGGACTTAAACTGTGCAAGCTGTTTAGCTGTGCTTTTGAGCTGTGCCTTCCCCAGCAGCTTTGAAACGTTTGGTTTGTGAAAAAAAATTGAATTTGTTGAAATTCTCTTCCTATTTAACAGTGAGAGTTATTGAATTAAACGTTGCCCATGTAACACAACGTAATGCAGCGCAGTTCGTTCACAGTTTGACAAATTGTCAGGATGCTGTCACAAAACTGCAAGTCTCAGCTCTCATCAGGAAGCAGCGTTTAAATCTGAAAAGAACAAGGCAGACTTCATTGAATTCACCGCAAGTAGTGAAGATTACAGGATGATACCATTACATCGTTGCATTTGCATATGCATGTACAGCATGCACGTACAGCTGTGTTGTTCTGCATTATGCTGAAAAGCTTGGATTTGTGTCATATCTAAAGGATTTGTTGAGATGCATGTTTGAAATGATTTCTTTTTATTTAATAGTGGATATCTGGTCGGTGGGCTGCATCATGGCTGAACTACTTACAGGACGGACGCTCTTCCCTGGCACAGACCGTATCCTTCCACCTCTGCTGCTAAAATAAATGTCAGATTGTAGCCAGCCTGCAGGTCTGTGTTAGATTAGGAGGAGGTACTGGTTGAGTTCAATCTGCTTATATGCACACGGTTTACAAATATGTATTAGACTAGTTATATAAGAATTGTTGTCCAGTGCACTCACTGCCAGGCTCTCACAGAATCTATTGCTGCAGCACTGTTGCAAGCACAGACAAAAGCACCATTTTACCTAGTTGGGCTGACTTAAAAGCATTGCTGAGTATTGAATTCAGTGAGCTACATGCCAGAATAGCCAGGAAAGTGTGCGTGTATGTGCATGATATGCACACACACACTCTCATATGGAGTTAATAGTGCCCTGTGGTCTATGACTCAGTGCTGCCCACTTTTATCTCCACTGCTTTTCCACGATACACTACCTTCCTGTTTCCCTCCCACAAAACCCTTACACACCAGCAGAGCTGTCATGTGATTTGATATAAAAACATACCGGAAAACCCTGTAAATTAGCGCGCGCACACACACACACACACACACACACACACACACACACACACACACGCACACACACACACGCACACACACACACACCTTTAAATATAGAAGGTAGCACACGCCACCAAGTTGGTGGTTTTGTTAAAGATCAAAATCTGTTTCATAACGTGTTCATAATTCCTGCTCTAACTAATCAATCAGCCGATCTACACCTTCTTCGCTGCATGCCTTGCAGGGGTATGTGTGCTTGAATGTGTCGAAACTGCTTTGTGATGTAGTGGAGCTACCAACCCACAGTGCTTGTTTGAATATACAGCAAGCAGTCTTTCTGGTCTGTCTCCTTTTACTTGTCTGAATGGAAGCTGATCTCTGCACATGAGTAGAATGGGAGGGATTGTGGATACAATGCATCTCATTAGCCTTTGTACAGTGTAAGTACAGGTGCACTCCCATAGCACCGGGATTAAAAATGTTAAATAGTAGACATACTACAACTATATGTGGTTCATATTTTGGGTACTAGGTAGTAGTGTGTCAACAGTAGCATGAGCAAATCACTTCAAACTGCTCGTTAGATGTGATTTAGAGAATTCTTGTCATGCTTTCTGGTGACATTTTTGCAGAGTGGAGACGCAGTAGTTAGTTCATTTATTTTTGTTGATGGATCAAATGATTATCTGAAACTTTGTGGACAATTATTTTATAGTTTCAGCTTGTCTGCACTAAGAATTATAAACACTATTCTAGATTCTCAATTTTTTGTAGATTCAATAGTCTGTGATGGTTTTATCACTGTTTATAAGATTTACACGGTGAGTTATAATCACTAGTTGCACACCTAATTTATGCATATTCATCTATCCATTTTCTACCGCCTGTCTGGGTTCGGGTCATGAGGTCAGCAGTCTGAGCGGAGATACCGGAACTACCCTTACCGCAGCCATTTCTTCCAGCTCATCTGGGGGGGGGGGGATACGAAGTCACAGGGTATGCCTAGGAAGGATTCAGGAGGCATCAGATGTGCAAATCACCAAACTGCCTCCTTTCAATGTGAAGGAGCAGCGTCTCTACTCCGAGCCTCTTAAATGGCCCCGCTCCTCACCCTGTCTCTAAGGGCGAGCCAGCCACCCTTTGGTTAATCAATAAAACGACAGTTTATCTTTTATTATGAGCCTTCTCTTCACAACAGGTCGATGCATCCGTATCACTAGAGACACTGCCCCAGTCCGTATGTCAATCTCACCCTCCAGTCTTCCCTCAATCGTGAGCAAGATACTTGAGCTCCTCCACCTAGAGTAGTATCTCATCCCTGACCCAGCAGACAGATGAGAAACAAAAACAAGGACTTCTTTAGACACTAACAAGAATTCAGGTAGAAAACAACGGGAATTACATTTATGAAAGAGCATGCCCAGAATAAAAGCAGCTTTTGAAAATGTCCATGTTCAACCTCCTTGAGTCTGAGGGATGAAAATTCCAGCCAGACTTTCTGTTTTGTTTGTGATGGGTGAAGTAGAAGTTTTGCTTTTCCTTTTCACCACAGCAGGCACGGAAACTACAGCACTGTAGCCTGTTAGCTCCACCAATGTCACCTCCAACTCTGATTGCTTCTGGTCTTTCATTTATAATTTGCTTTGATATTTTCTATTGCATCTACATTCAGTCATTTTTAAGTACTTTAATACTTCACACAGTCACAGTAAGTGACATAGTCATATTCAACTCATCTGTGAATATTTATGCATCAGTGTGACGTTGTATGATTTTTAGTTGGTGCTTGATATCTTTTATTTTGAATAAGTGGACCTTTATCAGTTACAGGCAACAGCATCGACAGTTGTACCTCTCACCCCTCTGTCCCCGTTACGTCCTCCATCCTTTCTGTTTTCCTTCATGTGAGTGTGGTAGATATTGATCAGTTGAAGCTTATAATGATGCTCGTCGGAACGCCAGGGCCTGAGCTCTTGATGAAAATCTCTTCAGAGTCTGTGAGTGCCATCCCATCCAGTTTTGTTTTATTTATTTGTTTTTTCCTTTTCTTTTGCATTGCCCATCCTCCCTGTTGCCTTTGTGTTGCCCTGGCTCTTTATTTTACGACCTGGTGTCAATGCTACTACCTCTTAACTGCACCTGTTTTGCTCTTAACACTCTGCTTTTATCCCATTTGAGTACAGTGCTTTGATTTCTGCTTCTTTCCAGCATGTACTATGACTTTTTTCAGAGCCCCGCTGATAACTTTTATGTGACAGTAAAAACGTTAGTGCCAAACTGGGCCACAGTGTTCGTGATTATCTGAATATAGGTTGCAGACAATGAAGGTTTTCTTTATATTAAAGTTTAGAAACTGTCTTCCTTTCTTTCACATCCTCCTCATCCTCACCCCGTGTGTGTTCCCACCCGAGTCCCTATCCTTTCTATACATCCACCTTCCTAACTACACCTGCTCTTTGATGTGCTGACCTCCATGTTATGATACCCCTTGACTCAGAAGGTTTAGATATAAACCAGCTGCAGCAGATAATGCGCCTGACAGGGACGCCCCCAGCCTCCCTAATAAGCAGGATGCCCAGCCACGAGGTGAGACAAGTTCCCTTCGTCTTCCCACATGCCCCGTCTCTTCCCCACAGCCGGAATCAGGGCCATGCTGCAGTCATCCGTCAGCTGATAGCTACATTACTGTTTAGAGATAAATGCAGCTAGATTTGATGTTTAAAATATATCCTACCAGTTCCTTTCTGCATACTGTCCTCTGCTCTCACGCCACACATTCCCTTTTTCCTCTTTGACTTGTCATGCTTTTCACAGCAAGGCTTATGAGAGTGCTCTGCCAGTGCAGCCAGCGTGTTCTGATCATCTATCCTATTTGACTATGAAAATAATACCACAGTGTTTATGTAATGCATGTGATTTGGGTGTTAGTTAAAATGCTTGGAACATGGCTTAATGGGAGGATGTACAGTTTGTCTTGCAACAGGCAAATTCAGTTTAGTATTGTAGTTCTATTGAAATATTGCACGTTTTTTGCAGTTTAAAAGCTGCCTTATTACTTGGAAATCTTCTGCAGTTTGCTTTTACAGTACACTTCTTTGTTTCTGTTTTCTCACAGGCGAGGAACTATATCAACTCACTTCCCCAGATGCCAAAGAGAAACTTTGCTGACGTGTTTATTGGTGCCAACCCTCTTGGTAAGTTCCTCTTTCAGAATGACACCATTGGGTTAGGCTGCTATTGGCTCACTGGCTCCCTCTAGTGGTGGTAGTTATAATAATGGGGGGAGCGGTTTCATCTGTATTTGTTTTGGCAAGATTTTTTTTTATCACAGTGGGGGTTTTTTTTAGCTTTAGCTAGTGCAAAAGGAAAAACAATTAGCACTGGCATGAAATAACAGTGTCTCATTTGCTTTGCTTTACATGAAGCATTTGTGCTTGCATGTGTAGTTACTGCACAAAGACCAGCTCCACGCCAGGAAAAACCCTGATTGCTATGCATGTTAAATCAATCAAGTTAAAAAAACAAAACAAAGAATGGATACAGGTGACAGCCGAGTTGGATTAGTGACGGGTGCTTTCTCATGTGCATCTCGTACCACATCAGGAAATTATTTCACGTAACCAATGTCAAGTTATGTAACGTGAACAAGCTACATTAACTTTTGTCACCTCGAGTCATAAAGAGCTCTTCAGCAGATAATCTAGGGGATGTCATTGTAGGATTATTCCGTCACTGACTTGATGCATTTTACAGCACACAGTATTTGTATAAATGCTTTAGATAAAATGCTTTTAGACTGGGGATGTTCCTGGTGACTGATTTTCTAGTCGACTAAACGAGGGAAAAAAATTAGACTAACCAACTACTCTTAAACTAAGAGACTCTGGTATCAAGTTTTGGAAACTGTTTAATGTGAAAAACTCTGCAAAGCTGCATTATGAATGACGCACGCAGATAAAAAATTCATGACAACCACTTAAAAAAATAAAAAGTCCTCCAGCTTGTCCGGGGAAAAATTGATGCATTTCCAGGCCGTATTATCTCCACTGGGTCCCGGGTCTCCTCTGGGCCTCCTCTCGGTAGAACATGCCCAGTCGGAACCCTTTACCCAGGGGTCGACATCATGAATGACTGAACTCCTCACCCTATCAAAAGCCCATCCACCCATCAGGGAAAACTTATTTCCCCCGTTTGTATGCATGATGTCATTTTTTCTCCTTTAAAAGAACTAACAGTAAAAGCGTTAACCCCCAAAATCAGGCCCAGATTAATAGATTTATGGTGTTTCTCAGCAACCGTGCTCCATCTGGTGGAAGATGGCTGCATAACATTAGGACAAAAGACTTTATTGGCATTGGGTATCAATTAAAATGTAAAACAATTGGATTAAACGACCCGTACATCTGGTACCGACTAGTGACAATGACAACAATCAGTTGTCACTGTCACACTCAGTTTCTTCAAAGTCTTCACTGCATACAGTCATGTGAAAAAGAAGGTTTTCACAAGACTTTGTGCAATGCTGTGAAAAACTAAGCACACCGATGATTCAGTAGTTTATAGAAGCTCTCCTAAGGTCCCAGCACAGCATTTTAATGGAGCTGGGATCACTGGAATCAAAGTGTTTAGTATAGGCTGACCTTTTTTCTTACACAAACAGAAGCTGATGCCATTATTTGAAAGGCTGCCCATAGTTAATATGAGCATCGACCGCAGTCACAGTACATATATTGACAGAAAAGTTAGCATTCTGGACCTTTTTGCTCTGACCTGTAGTTTTTCTCATACTTACCTTTGTCTCCTTTCTTTCTTTTAGCGGTGGATTTGCTGGAGAAAATGTTGGTGCTTGATACAGACAAGCGGATCACAGCATCTGAGGCTCTGGCCCACCCTTACTTTGCCCAGTATCACGATCCAGATGACGAGCCTGAAGCAGAGCCTTACGACCAGAGCTTTGAAAGCCGTGAGCTGGAAATTGAGGAATGGAAAGGTGAGTTGTTAGAAACCAAATAGATTTTAAAGGTTATTTATTCTGTATGTTGGAAAGTAATTTCAATTATCTGTTCTCAGCCTTAACCTACGACGAGGTCATCAGCTTCGTGCCACCATCTTTCGACGAAGACGACATGGAATCTTGAGGAGGAAGCGGCTCTCTTCCACGATTTGTTTTCCAAGAAACACTCTCTAAAGACTATCGGTCTCATGTGACTATCCGCCACTTTCCTCATACACGCGCACAGCGATGACATTCAAGTGCCTGCCGTCATTCATATGTGGGGGGGACGTTGCGCTATCAGGGAAACGAAAACAAAAAACTTGACATCGTGTTCATACCGTCCCCTGCTCTGCTGTTTTGTTTTTCTTAACATGAATCCCACCGTGCTGAGGTAGACTTTAACTCTCCTTATGCATTAGTAATTTTTTTATCTCAGACATATATTCTTTATATTCTGTCCCTTATTCTACATACACAGCAAAAAATAAATAAAAAAGAAAACATTACATGTCAGTATCTCCAGGCAAATTGTAATAACGGAACATGTATTATGTATTTTATTAAAAAAAATATGGCTGAAAATAATGCTGTAGGACAACAATTCTGGAAAGTTTTAAACCATGCTGAGTGTGAAGTGTATCTTTTGGCACATTTTAAATTCTGTTATTTCTACGAGTACATAGAACTATGTAGATACTACAGAAACAGTATTTGTACATAAATCTTTCTGGGAAAAACGGCTACCACACGTGTAGTACTGAGGCTCGTCAGCCGCCCACATTGACAGTTTGTTCTAGAATGGCATATAAACCGATACTGTGTGTAATTTATTTAGAATATGTATAGGATACGCGAAAATATGTAAAATATTCAGCCCAGTATGGAAAATTCAAGGCTTCATCTTTCTTAATGATTGAGTTTTACACATGGCAACCCCCCTCCCAAGGAGAGCATTTCCCACGTGTTCATTTTCATCTATTACTTTAGTAAGCTTCTTCCGTCTTCTCGCACATGTGTTGTTTCACATGAATGTTTCAGCGAACAGCCACCAATCTTTGCAGTTTCACCACAGCATGTTAAAGCCAGAGTTTTTGGCTTACTAGTTTATTCAAATTGTAATGTTTTTCCATCACAACGTCAGCCGACAATGTAATTTAATCATATTGCATTTATGAAACAGTACTATTAATGTTTATGGAATGTTTGGAGCGCCAGTTTGCGCCGTATATTTATGATCTTTTCTTATATTGTTTGTATATTGATGTAAAAGAGAATATTATTTGTCAGAATTTAAGGTTGTTTGTATTATTTATGGAGAGCTTATTGTATTAGTATCCAAATGTGTCATCGATAATTTCATAGATCACTTGAGCCACAGTGGCTACAGCTTTCATATCAAGAGCCGACAATGTTATCAAGAGATCGTTTGGAATCAGTTTGATACATTCTGCTCAGTTTGCTAAATTACCGTTGCTGAGGTTGTGTTTACAGCGCGCCTTGATTCACGGCCCAACAAATTATCACAATTTTTTAAAAAAGAAACCCAAAACATATCCTGTAATGGTGGCATATTAGTCACCATTTATTGACTAACAAACCACTAAACTATTTCTTTAGTGTGAAGACTTTTATGACAAAATGCTTCCAATGTGAAGCGTTTGAAAAGTCAGACACGCAAGCTGTATCCACAGTTGCTCTGCCTTTGGCACCCAAACAATATCAGACATCAGTCATGTTTGATTTCAGCCGCTTGTTTTAAATGTAGTGATTTTTCTAATGTGTTATTTTACTCTTTGTGTGCTAAATCAAGATTTCATGTTATTCTGTGATTCTGTATTGATTGTTTTATAAGCAGCACCAGAAGCCTGTTAGAGTAATTTAGAGGAGGGTTGGGGGGGTGTCACATGTATGCAGGAAAGTGCATATGTTTACTCACTGGATGCTGAAGGGCAATGCCGAAGCCTCATATTTTATCATTTTTAAACAACTGCATTGATTTAGATAGGATATTTATTTTGTCCATATCCCGATGTCAGTAGTAAATTTGGTTACACTTCGTCTGCCTGAAATATGTTTTTCTGGGGTTTTTTTTTTTTTTTTTTGACCACATGTATCAAGATAGCAGGCCACGCCACCTGTAAATACCACCATTAGAAAATAAAGCCTACTATTTTTCAAAGCTGTAACAGAATTCATTCATTGGGTGAGCTTTTGCCTTGCCTTTTTTTTCTTTTTAAGCATGTCACCATTGGATGGCAGCATAGCACAAGTAGAGCAGAGCTTGTCTGTCATCTGGTGTGTGATGGGTTGAAAGCCTGCTGGGCTTTTCAGAGAGACTCCAAGATTCCAGTGCACTTCAGACTCAGCAACACTCTCTCAGAAAAAATCTGCTTTATCTTAAAGACAAAACGCCTAAACACAAACAAAGCCACATAGATTAGGCTGTGCATGTGAGGAGTGATCTGACTTTTGCCCTCCAAACAGCCACTCCACAGATACACGGCACAACAATGACAGAGACGTTTTAACAGAACAAGGATCGGCTGCACATCTGCATTTAATGTTAAAGGATGCCAGTGTTCACAGTTAGCTGTGCTTTGCTCATTTGACAACTCACACAATCGGTAGTCCAAGACCCCTATCATGTAGATGCTGAAAGAAGTAGCAGGATGACTTCTGAAGTGCAGGGCTCTCCACTCCGATGCAGATGAATGCTGCAAAACTGATCACAGTTCTTCACAGTGCAAAGGGATAATGAGCCGAAACAACTTGCAAAAGGAATCTAAGACCTTTTCAAGGCTGATTGTGATATTCTTCAATGGCCAAGTCAGTTACCTGGTCTCAACCAAACAGAGCATGAATTTCACTTACAAAATATTTTCACTTACAAAAAAAATACAAAACTGAAGTCAGAGAAACCCACAGAAAAGCAGCAAATGAAGGTGGCTGCAGTAAAAGCAAACACATTTGGTGACGTTCAAGAATTCTAGAGTTCAGGTAGTCATTGACTGCAAATGATTTAGATCCAACTATTTAACTTAATCCTTATAGTTTAGAAAAAGCTACAAGAGACCTTTCCAACTTGTGTAAATCTACAGTTCTCTTTCTTAGATCTTCACTCTGTTCTTATACCATTGTTCTGAGTACTGATCTGTCCATTGAGAAACTACCAGTTATCATAAATCATGATCACAGAGGAGAATTGTATGTATGTATATATTTGATTTATATATATATTTATATATGAACCCTATGTATTCTTTTAGACTTTTAGACCCTGTATCGATTACAGAAAATAGTTTCCATCACATTTAACAAAATCTCCAAAGCTTGTGACTTTGTAGTGACTTTCCCTAATGAGTATGGCATTAGACGGGCTAACCTGCTACTAAGTACAACAGCAAAGCATTCCCACCATATCCACAGTGCAAAAGCCAGGATTTAAAAATTTGCCTGGCCTACAAAATCAGTCAAATTGTGGGACAAGGGATAAAAATGCAGTGCATTCATTCCCACATAAAAAGGACACCTGGTCACCCAAGCTGTGACACTTGTGAAGCATCAGAGTTAAATACCAAGTATAAGTCAGTTGAATGTTTCCCCAGTATTAAAGAAGCAAATAAATAATAATTATTAGTAAAAGAAGTACAAGACTTCAGTTTGTTACCCAGCTTGGCATTTTAGATAATTAAAAGTAAATGATGGTTTTTCATGCAAACAGAGTGCTGACTCAGTGCTCCTCTCAGGTTGATAGCTGCTTTGATGCTTCTCTCTGATGCTCTCAGCACTTTGTAGGCTCTCCCTGATTTATAAAAAGCCCAAACTTTAAGATGAAGGGGAAAAGTAATGATTAAAATCCAAAATACTCATGAGTATTTCCTCAGGGAAGCTTTTCTTCTTCATGGAAGAAGTGCGACTTTTCAGTGCAAAAATAAACAACAATAAACAGTAAAGCTAACAATCAAACTTAGCAAGGAATTCCAAAATGAAGTGCTGAGCGCTAAATTTATTTGACAAAAGATACTTAATGCGATCGAAGGCGGTATCTACGGACACTGCCCCCAGGAACAAACGCATATCCGCTCTGTTTGGTCATTTTGGCGCACTTTAGAGTTTTCACTTTTCCAACAGTCCTCGAACGCAGCATATGCCCTGACTGGTTTTCAGCATGGAAAGAAAGGGTAACGTAGCTAACTGAAGCAAAATGCTTTTTATACGGATTCTTGTAGGAGATACGCTTTTCTTTTCGACATTTATCAGGCCAGTTGTCTGCTGAAACGATAGTAACAACTAATGTTATAACAAGAAACGTTAAGAACTGACAGAAAGTATAAGTGGACCATGCGCTCTGCTCTCTCTGTGTATGTGTTAACAGTATGCTAGCTATAGCCGTCAGATAGTAGATTAGATGGTGGACAAAGTATGCGGAAAGTCTCGATCCGAATTAGAGTATAAATGATACACACAGTCCCAAAAACTTTAAATAAAATTTACCAGGGGTCCACATGATAATGGAGAAAGGGGAAATATCACATTCACTGTGAAAAGCACCAAGTTGGCTATTAGCAGCTAACTTAAAATGCCTCTTTTATGTGAGGCAACACACCCCTGAGGCCGGTTTTCTGTCTATTTACGTAGGCGGAGTAACCTGCTAGCCTCATTTGTTGCTAATATAAGTTTGAACTACGAGTTACACCAGCACTCCCTGGAATAAAAAGTCACGAAAACGGCTTTTGACATGGTGTCGTGTTATAAAGATACAGCTGCTATATTTGGAGCTGTGCTTTATGTTGTACCACTTTCCTCTCTGCTCTTTAGTACTAGCGATGCAAGCAAGGAAGAAGAGGACAAAGCCCCGGAAACCTGGCAAAAAGTAAGTGAAGATGGACCTTTCTCTTGTTTTTACACCACAAGTTAATTTATATTATGTGTTCAGTGTTCAGTCCTGAACACTGCTCGGCTGCTTTCTATCATTTGGCTCTTATTCGATCATTTGCAACGCAGACTGATAGTTGCAGCATCACATTGTAACGCTTTATAATTGAAGATAATTTTAAGTTAGTTCATAATTATAGAGAAAGGGCTTTGATATTTGAGGGTTTTTGAGTCAATTTTAAACATATTGATGCTTCAGATAGTTTGAGTGCATGGTTTGTCACAATTCGTGACAGTTTTATAAACTTTATCACCGTGGTTAAAGTGCATTATTTGACCTTTATAACATTAAGGGCAGAGGAGAATAGATTTTAAACAGCAACCTAATGAAGGCACAAAAAGGCAAATATATGTGTGTATGGAGTGTATAACATTTGCAAGCTATAGATGTTTACAGACAGTTGTGTATTCAGCTGTATATGTATGCATATGCACGTGTTATGTGTATAAAAAAAACAAAACAGAACACACAAAATGTATTTGCATATATTTAACTAAAAATACCACTTGGAATACAGATGCTACTTTAAGACATATGTTAAACAATAAAAGCTACTTCTGGCTGCTCTCTTATTTACAAGGGGTCGTGACAGCGGATAGCGCCGCAGTTTGATCTGGCAGATTTTTTCATACAGTGGATACATGGCTGGATTCCTGATGCAACCACAGATACATTTGTGTGTTTACACCTTCTATTTTCATTTTGAGACAGCTGTGCAAGACAATGCATCACATGTTGAAACGGAGACCTTTGGTTATTTATTTAATTTTTTAAAATCCATACATGTGTTCATTATTTTGAATTGGTTGCCAGCAACACGTTGAAAACATTTACATTGTTATGCTGGAATAACCTTTCCTGAAATTGTCATGAAGATGGTAGCAAAAAGCTTGCATTCAGCATTAATGGTGCCTTCACATATGTACATGTTACATCTGCACGTGTATACATAGTAAGGCTTTGATTATAATGGATTATGGACATGGACAGTTAGAGTACCGTTGGTCGAATAGTCATTTCTGTTATAGTTCGTTGAAGTCCGCTGCTGGGACGCACGTGTAGTTGGTGCATTGCAATGTAAATTCTCCATAGTCAAGTCTCCACAGTCACAAAAAACAGGCAGGCACGAACCTTTGTCCTCACTGTCTGATGACAGAATCACCTGGAGGACCCTAGTGGACTCATTATCCAGCTTAATGTCCCCACACCATCACAGGTGCTTTTTTGAAATCTGTGCAGATCACAGGCTGAATGGTCCCTTTGTTCTTTAATCTGGAGGATGCATGATTGCTCAGGCTGCAGGATTTTGAATTAGCCCATATTATATTGTTTTGTATTGACCTAAAACATGATTTTAATATTACTGACAAGATGTCAGTTTTGGGCTTAACTTCCTGTTCTTGTGATTCATTTGATTTGGGTTTTTTTTGCTGTGTGACAGTCATTAAAATTTGCTACAACCCTTGAAAACTTTTTGCACATGAAACAATGATGCACTGCATGTATTTTCAGCATAGACAGTGTAAAAGATGGAAGTAGCATCCAGTTGAAGAAAAATGAAGTCAGTGTGGAAAAGCCTTCGACCGACATTCTAGCAAAGAGTGATAGCAGAGGGAAGATGTTCCTCTGCCAGGAGATCTAGAAACACTTTCTCGACACTCAGTTGCTCATTTCACGTCCTACTGAATAAAACATTAGGTCAGTTTTGTAAATTTGGGTTATTCTAAATGCCAAAAAAGGAGGCTAACAACTTGGTTAATGATTGACAAGTGCTTAACCAATGAGCTTTTGGTTTCACCATCAGATCCACCACTCACTCGTTTCAAAGCACAGAGACAGTGAAAGCGTTCGTCTTGAAGCTTCTACACGGGACTTCAGAAACCAGTGTGTGTCATCATGGTGGCTACGTCCATCTTTTATACAGTGTAAGGTGTTCAGAAGAAAGTGCTTACTTGCTCACTTACCAACACACAAGTAGAAACCATTCAAGGATGGATCAAATCTTCTTTTTCCACTTTTTTCCTCTTACTCTGTCTCCCTTTTGCACTATCTGGCTCTTTTTGTTTCATCTCTCTCTCTCTCTCACTCTCTCTCTCACCCTTACTCCCATCGTGGTCCTTCCCTCCCACTCTCTTGTGTCAGTCGCTCTGTTGGGGCTGCTGTGCTGAAAGGACACAGCAGCTAGTGTACAGTTAAAGAGCCAGCGGAGAGCACACGGACCTGGTCTCAGGTCACAAAAGTCTTAATCTAGCTTTAAAAAGACCTTTGCCAGCGCTTATTTTAGTTCATCATAGACTTGTGTAACAAAGCTTTAGGCTAGTGTCTTCTTAGTCATGTGGCTTCTGGACTGGATCTTCTCCATCAATTCAGCTGTAGTGAAGCTTGCCAGCGGTCTAACATGCAAGTGAGTAGTGCTGCAGTTCTCTTGTAGGAAGCGAGTCAGACTTGGAGCATGCATGTTCTGGTTCTTTAATCTGCCACGATGGGAGTCAGAGTAGTGTTTTAGTGTGTGTGTATGAGTTTGTGTTGCTAGTTTAGACAGAGCTTGGCTGACATACTGATGTTCTGATCCCATTTTTTCCCCTTTATTTTTGTTTTAAATTAGGGAGCACGTTCAGGCTTTTGCCTTACTAAGCACCTCACTGCCTGTTCATGTGTTTCACTTAGTCCTTTTACAAGTGACTGAGAACAGGATTGGAAGATTTATGCTTGTCACACAGGACCTTATTTCTGCTTCCCTTAAAATTTTATTTCTTGTTTCAGTTGCAGACTTGTTTTCTTGTTTGTTTGCATCACGTCAGACAGGAAACATTTTTTTTCCCTGCAAATTTCTGTGCCTCAGATTTTAATTTTAGGACTGCGGTCCTCTCAGGCGACTGAACACGAATAGCCATTATTATATTTTCCAGCACCATTGCTCTCTGTTATATTTTGCTTTCATTGCTCCCTTTTCTCTTCCAGCCATTGCTGCAGTTCATTACATAACACATCAAATCTTTCATCATCTGCAGCTGACTACAGCTCTGTGTTGCTCTGTTTCTCTCTCTCTTGCTTTCTTTTTGTCCTCATGCTGTAGGTTAACCACTGTTCTTTCTTCCGTCTTGTCAGAAGCAGAATAAATACACATAAACATGAGTATTTTTTGGGGGGTGTTTTTTGTGTGTGTTGGGTGTCATGGGGAGGTGGGTCACATCAGGCCTCGAAAATGTCGGTGTTTCAGCTGTTTTTATGGAGGGATTTGTTTTTGTGAACCATGGAAATCTGCAGTGGTTTAAGTAGTGGTGTGTTGGCCTCTCCCTCCCTCTGTGTCTTTCTCAGGCTGCTTGGAAACCTTGTTTGTACAAAAAAACTCTGCGTGTAACATAAAACACTGTCTCTATTATTAAGACAAATTTCTGTAAAGTTAACCCACATAGCTCTGAATATCGGAAAGAACATATTATATAAAGTTGGTGCTTACACAGCAGGTAGATGTAAATAATTTCTGTGAGGAAGATTTGAAGACATTAACAAGCATCCTTTGCTTCACTCGTATGCCTTCAGTAGGTGTTCGAGTGCTTAAGGCAAAATGCTGCACCACACGCATTTACACTTTGTTTGCACTGCACCCTGAGGCCTTCGGCACAGATACCTATTGCTGCTGTTTCATTTTGCTGCCGAGGCATTTTGCATTGATTTCATTTCGAAGGAGCAAGTAGGGAAGCTAAACTTCTTGGCCATACTCCATCCTCACAAGCTCCACTGCTTCTGTGTGCCCTTGTTTGTTTTGCTCTAACGATCTGATAGGGCTGGATGGGTGGAAAAAGTTTGGCTAGGAGAAAGCAGGAGATGCTAACACATTATGTCAGATCAGATGTGTGCTCAGAAGTGACGGGCATGTAAAGTGATTGCAGTTTTTTTTAGATTTTGTCTCTCTGACGGACAATAACGGAATAACACATTTACAGACTATTTATTGGGTCTTTGTGTACAAAAGAGTTAAACAGTCAGCTCAGGGTGACCAGTTTTGTTGAAGCTGTGGCTGTTCAAATTTTGGCATGTGGTTATGTTTGCTTTAATCCCTAAAAACAGGAGTGTAGATAAGAGTTTTGGTTCCAGAGGCTTTCTAGACCAAGTAGTTTAGACCTAATATATGTAAGCAGGCTTTGGCATGAACACGAAAGGTCTGCAGGGAGAACAACACAGGGAATGCACTGGCTGCAGCGTGATCTCAAGATAATCAGTTATTTCATGACCACAGTTTAGCTTTTTATTATTTATTTATTTATTTTTAGATATCAGCTATCCCGACAATTGCTTACCCCACCAAAAGGATTAACCATTGTGGCCTAGAGGGTTAAGTTATTAGATGGCAGTCAGTGGGTTCCTGAATTGGTTGTTGTTGTTGGATAAAAACACTATCTGATTATTTTTCAATGTATAATAAAAACTGGCAGCAGTCACTGAAACACAGAAAACTGTTTTGAACTTCAAAGTGACTGCGCAAAGTTTATAGAGCTCTTTTTTTCACAGCTTTTCATTGTAATTGACCAGGTTGCATTCAATTGTGTGCACATGATAACAAATCTGAAACTGCAGCAGAGAAATGAGATTCAGTTATCACACATTTCTCTATTGACACTTATGCTTTTACTTCTACTAGATTTTCATGTGTGTTCTGGGGACGAGTACAAACCAAGTAACTCTCATATATAGAACGAAGGTGGATTTGCTGCATTGTCCAGATTTTGTATTATTCTGTAGTTGTATCTAATTTACTGTCTCAGATATCTTCAACAACACAAACATGGTACTCATAGCTGTCTGCTTTTGTAGAGATAACTTTTATTTTGTACTTTTGTATAATTTTATCTTGCTAATTTAGATAATTGGCTGTAAAGCAACATTGCTGAATTGTTTCGTTGACTCATAGTTTCTGTTATTCTGACAAATAACAAGACAATGACTAAATAAAAGCTAATGCGCGAGGACAAAAACTATTGTGAAATGTAATGAATAGAAATGGGATGAAAAAATTCTGGTGAGATTCAGAACAAATTAGGTTGTGTAGAAAGGTTGGACGAATTTGGAAGTGTTCCAATCTTAATCTAAGATGCTTCGTAAATTGCATGGAGCAACTCTCATCTGTAAAAACACAACAGACTTTAACATTTTATATTTTTTAGTCAACTAAATCAACTTTAGATTGCATCTACTGTAATCTTATGATATTTAGTTAACTACAATTTGACTTAAAATTTTCAGGTTTTAGTCAAAAAACGGACTAAAACAAAACCAGAATTTGTTGTCAAAATTAACATTGGTTGCGTTAACAAGGACAATACTCCGCTGCTTTGAGATTCTTATCAGAATAACTACGATTGCAATGCACTGGAGACCTGTTAAATACTGTTGGGTTCTGAGGTATCCCAGAGCCCATACAGTGTACGTTATCTTTATTTTAAAAGGTTTTCTTTAGTAACTTCAGTACGTGTTACACGTTGTACAACATGTTGATCATTTATCCCTATGTGTATGTTAGAAGTTGGAAAGAAGTTGCTAAATCATTCATGTCCCTCAGGTTGTTGGTATTCATTTTCACTGTGAGCAAGTATATGTGTGGAGGGAGAAGAAGGTTCAGCAATCTCATTGTGCGCTGTTGGAATATGTTAAATGGCCAATCACAAAAAAATGGCCCCAAGTCATGCAAAGCTATTCCAATACAGCTCCAGAAACTTGTGAAGTGCAGTAGCATTTCAAGTTGCGGATACCTAGCTGATTCCTTCCCCATTACATGAATCGTCCAACAGTTTGAAAGTCTGCCTTTCTATGAGTAAGGTCTGATGATTGCACAATAAACTGCAGCATTGATGTTTCCGTGCAAATATGAGTAAGTGAAGCATTGTTGAATAACAGGCAAGCGCAATGGTGATCGACAGACAGAGAGGGGGAATAGAGAACAGTGTTGTTTTGGTCAGTTTGGTTTGTGTATGTGTGTGTGTGGGGGGTTGATGTCGTCCCTCACCTGCAATGCAGTGCTGGGCTGTATCATCCAATCATGTCCCAGCTGTCGGCGAAAGAGGGCTGGGCCAGAGGCTGACGACAGCCAAGGAGAGTTCTCGGTCAGACGGAGAGAAAGAGAGACGTGAATGTGTGAGAGGAAAAAGTGAGCGAGAGAGTCGGGGAGTGTGCAGTGGTACCCTGCGCTCCAGGACTCAGCCTCAGTGCTCAGCCTGCAGTTGAGCCTCTACATTTCTCCTCTCTTCGCTCGTATTCCCCATCACTGCTCTGATCCATCCTCTCTCCTCTTCTCTGCTCTCTTCTGTTATAATCACTGCTTTTCAGTTGTCAGCACTGATCGCTTTCTCCTCCTTCTCCTCCACTTGTACTTTTTTTTAACTCTCTCCATCCCTTTTCTGAACCTCTAATACCTCTTTCTTTTCCTCCTGTTGGATGGAGTAAGAGGCTTTTTCAGCACCTACACCCTCTCTTCTCTGGGCCTCCTCCCTGCATCATCCCATGGGTATCCGTGCATCTTGCAGGTAAGAGTAGGATGAGTGTGTATGCGTTTGTTGACAGCTCCAGACGAGATATGACTCACGTCCAGGTGTTTCCAGTGCTGCAGAAGTCCTTGATGTATCCAGGTTTTTGTCGTGTGATCTGAGGTCATTGAACTGTCTCGGTCCAAGTGTCGTCGTACCGCAGTTAAAGGGGGGGGGACCAAACAAACTTAGATACGTGATCTGGAAAAGCATGATTGCCTGCTGTGTTTTGGCTTCAAATGTGTGAATGCTCTTGATCGGTTGGAGGTCGTGCTACATTTTTTTTTCTTCTCCTGGTTTACATGCAGGCATTGGTTTCTAACCTCCACATTTCTTTCCCCCTTTCTGTCCTAATGCTGTCAGCTATTTTTAGTTAAGAATCTTGTCTTTGGATTCAATGTCCAAAAAAACTTTGTGGCTGATTTAAAAACTGTCAGCATAAATATGTTGATGTAGTTCTCTTTATTGACATGTCATGGATCTACATATAAAAATCCCTTCATTGTGTTTAAACAGTACAAAAGAAGCTTAGAAACTTGGAATCGGTTCTTTCTTTTCTTTTTTCTGTTTTTGTTCATTGTCGTTGTCACTTTAGCACTTTCCTCCATAAAGATGACATTTATTGACATCCCCTGTACCCTTATTCACTAGCTTTGACATGTCCAAATATAAAGATGTTGTTTCAGGACTATTAGAATAATATCCAGGTTTTTCTATGAGTAGCTACATAGGCAGAGACCACCCTCACCTACTTTTGATACAAATCTGTTTTGCTTTTCATCATTTATATATTAGGAATGAAAGGAGTTAGGCCTTTTGAATGGTTTCGCTCAATGACTGTGCTCTGTTTGCTCTGAGAAAGCAAGCAAATTTAGTTTTGTTTTGCCTTCATCAGACTGTTTGTGTTCATATTTCTTGCAGTAATGTGCACAAAGTCTGGAGGCAGGAACGCTTCTGTTAGTCATAATAGAAATTCACCTTGTAGGAGTTGTCAGCTCTAAAAGTAGTGCGGTTTTGGTGTTTATTCACTTGAATACTGCAATCAAATCTAAGGGGACCCAAAAATTTTCAGGGGTGCATACAGTCCAATCAGAGGGCAGGAAAAAATGCGCGTATGCCCATTTCAGTGACACCTTTTCAGGAGGAATTCTCACCGCAGGCGGGTGAATGTGTAATGCAGACGCAGAACGAGTAATGATACAAAACCTTTTTGTCTTATTCTTTTTTTCTTTGAGGATACCTCCCACACACAGCAGCTAGACTGATATCAGCAGGCCTGTAGTGTTATTGTGATATTTAAAATATCACAGATCTGTTGTACTGTGTTGGCAGATATGCAAATAGAAAGTGCACTGGGTACATGTTTCATTGGCTGCATTTGTATCTTCTCCTCTCTTATACACCTGCATCATAAAGGCAGAAGTGGTCAGGTTCCAAGCAGAAAGCCTATTTTAATTTCACCTACTTGAACTCCAAGCTACTTTTTGTCACTGTAGAAAAGGACTTTGGTTAATTAGTTAATCTCTGCAGTTCTGACTTAAGCTCAACATTATAATTGCCTTCCTCCCCTAAGGAGCAGTAATAAACAGCTGAGTTGAACAAATAACTAAACGTGACACAGCTTTGCGGGCACATTTTGTTAAGATGCATCCACAGTGGTCATCCTGCTCTGACCTAAGCCAATGAACTGATTAGCTATGCACACTAATCCTAATTACTTTAAAATTGATCGCAACTGGAACACGATAAAGTACCGACCGAAGCAAATTTAGCATCTCCACACATTTTCTTTTTCAGAGGGTGCACAGTAATGTCAGCTGCTTATTATCCTGTCACTTCCTTTAATTAGCTGCAAATCTATGTGAACAACATGCTGTTACGCTTGAGCTCCAACATTGTACATTAGCTGGATAAATGAATCTGCTTAGACCTGAGATCATAAGAGATTTTATATGTGAGATTGGAACATCTATTCAAGGCTGGAAGTATTATAAAGAAAGAGTCTGTCAGCTGTGAGGAAAAGCATCTGCCTGCACTGCATACAGAAAACATTTCTTGCTGGAAGCAGTGAGCTTTTATCTTACTTACCTCCACAGTGTACCGTCACCGGGGGGAAATAGGGTAGCCCATTATAAGCACTTTGGTTTTATTGATGCTCTTATTTCTGGAGGAATGGTTACTTAGATTTAGCTGATTATTTAATTTATTCTGATTTTAGATTTTGTTGAGGCTTGACTTTATATAACCATTTACATAGTCAGTAGTCAAACATTGTGCCGCTCTTGGAAAAGCAAGAGAATTGTTTTTGTTTTCAGCAGCTGAAGCTTAAAGAAACTGTGACATGCTGTTAAATCATTCTTCAGGGGCCTTTGTTTAACATGTTTGACTTAATAAACACTGTGTCTCTTTCACTTTGAATTTTCCAGTATGAGCACCTGTAGACTTCATTTTTAATATGCAGTTAGCCATTTTTAGATAACCACTGCACATCCTGCTCAGTTAACTATCGTGAGCCTAAATCATATATTTAACTACATGGTATTTCTCTTTGGTGATATTATATATTAGTGCAGTACATCACTACATTGTTTTTGGTGATGCTCTACAACCTAACACTATGGATTCAAATTGTAGGTAATTACGTCAAAAGTATTGAAGTAGATTATTATTATAATTCATATTTAAATAAAGATAAAATTGCATTAGAAATGGTGACATTATGAAGACCCATAATGGTTGTTACCTTATTGGCCTGCAGTTTCTTGTTGCACACTTTGGTATAAATACACACACGTAGCTCAAAGCTTAGAAAGTTCATGATCTTGTAAATCTTGCGAGAATCCAGTTGCCATGCAAAGTAAGATGCTTCAGTCTCTGTGTGGTGTTTTTCAGGAAACACAAGTCACGCACCTCTTCTCTTTTTCTGCTTTACATCCTGTGTGTAGCTAAAAAACAAAATAGATTCTGGAGCTTAAGAGCTTACATCAGTTTCTCTCATTGATGCTGGCACTTGCTTTCATGCTGTTATTATTTATTTCAAATGCTACTCCAGAAATGTGCTACAGTGGAGTTGAGTAAATTATGTCTAATATTACTTGAAAGGAGAAGGATGACAAACTGAATTAAGGGAAGCCTGTGGAAGATTAGATATTAAAATGGAGCCAAATAATAATAATAAATATATTAAATAACTGAAAATAACAGTAATATAATAAAGTAAAGCACGGGAATAATTTAAAGCATGTTTTTTTGGGGGGGGAAATATGTTTTTGTGGAAAAATACATGTTTTGCTCTTTTAATGTAATTTTTTCTAATTGTTAAAAAGGCTTTGGACTCTCAGGAGGTAAAATAAGAAAGAATTTATAAGTTGAAAATGCCTCGCTTCGCAGCAGCTCTGCTAACCAGGCCACTTGGCTTCTCTGATCCAATTTTGTACTGCATTGTTCTTGTCCTGACCGACGTCTCTGTACACCTACAGTGTGATGAAAAAACTGCTCAAAAACAAAATACTACTGCATTTCAATTTTTTTTAAAACATTTTCACTTTGCGTTATTGTTTTTTTTGGGGTTTTTTTTGTTTTGTTTTTTTAAATGTGTATAACCTAATATTTAAATGAAGTCACTTTGACCCAAATTCCTCGGACTCTCAGGAGTGAGTAAATATCTGTGATGCGCTTGTCAGACCTCCTAGGGCGGGGAGAAATGGTTTTGGCATGTAAACGTATGTATAAAGTCACCACTTTAGAAAAAAGTGCCCCATGTTACTTTTAAAAATACACAATCCTATAAATAAATAAAGTATTTTCTTTGTAACTTGTAGATTTAATGATGATTTTGAATATCCATTTCCTTTTCCAACCATCTATTTCTTCTGTTTATCCAGTTCAGTGTTAAGAGGGTGCTGGAGACTACCCCGGCTATCATAGGCTAGAAGGTGGGGTACAGCCTGGAGAGGTCGCCAGTCTTTTAGAAGCCTAAGGCCTTCTTACCGTCAGTTTTTTCCACCATTTTATTGATATTTCAGAGCAGAGGTTCAGAAGTTTACATATTCTATTGGAGCGGATGTTGCAATAGTTTGAAAAGATGAGACTTTGTGGAAAAGCATTCGGCAATGTGCTAGCTTGTGGTTTTGAGTTCTTCTCTTCATATGTCAGCGCTGATGTTGCTATATTGTCTGAGTGGGGACACCTATTATTCAGGTGAATACTGCAGTGGCTGTCTCCACCTTAATACCGAGCATAAATAGAAGTGATTGCATGATCATCTTTGCGGCAGCACATGAAGTGACCAATGCAAAGGGTATGCCTGCACCTTAATGCTGCGTTCCAGATACCTCGGAACTTGGATGTTGGATTTGGCGTGTACCAGGAAAAGCAAGGAAAAACAATTTTTTTAATTCCAACTGGGAACTCGAATTTTAACTTCCAACTTATTCCGGGATGCACCATGACACATAGAGGGAGTTCCCAAAGTAGAACCTGCACAGGCACGGGGAGAACATTCACTTGCCACACAGAATAGTCGGCGGATACAAACCCAGGACCACGATCTGCTAACCACTGCAGCATTGTGTTGCTGGCTACTGGAAATTAAGGAGCTTAACATGACATCATTTCACTTTAACTTATTCTTTCTCAAAATACACGCTAACTGTGGTTACTTGTTATTCAGTTGATAACAAGTAACCAAGTAGAGTCAGATGATTACTACTCATGTGTAGTTGTTCTCAGAGGTTTACATCCACTCACCTTGGATATGAATTTCATGCTAATTTTAATGATTTCCTTTAATTGATTGGAATGATTGTACAGCATACATCTTTAATGATTTTAAAAAACAAGAATTGGGTGCACAAGTCTGAATTTGTTTTGAATCTTCTCTGATCCAGACAGGGTCAAAAGTATCCTGGCTTACATCAATATTAATACATTGAAGCTCAGACCCTTTCCATAATGGCTGTCATCACAGAAACATTAGACTTGTACTTTTTAGTGGATTGAGAATTTATCCTGGTCCTTGATGTTGTTCATGAGTTTATTTTGGATAAAACCTTGCTGTAAACTCTTTGACATCCATCTTTGTGAGCCAGTCTGACATCATCTTTCACCAGCTTTTCAGCCGTCAATGTTTTTTCTTTCACACTTCCCTTTCTTCCTGTCATTTATGTTCCTGAATTTCACACTTTCCTGTCTGTTTTACCACCCCTGTCTCTCTGGTTCTCTTCTTCATCCAGACCAGAGCCTCATGGCCGTGGAGGCGGCTCTCAGCCAGGTCAGGCAGAGTCTCCGTTACCAGAGCAGGATGAAGAGATCTTGGGCTCTGATGACGATGAACAGGAGGACCCCAATGACTACTGCAGGGGTACGATCTCTCTTACTCTTTACAATGAAATGTGTGTTTGTGTGTGGGGGGGGTGTCCTTTTTTTCTTTCTTTTCTTTTCTTTTTTTTAAATGCATGAAGGAACTCAACCAAGCAGACAAACTAAAGTGTCCCAAGAAAAAACTGGGTCTCAGCTAACACATCCTCAGAAATATCTTCAACACCTCTCTCAGACAGGCTGTCGTCTTCTCATGCTTCAAAGCCACCATTATACTGGAGCCAAAACAAAGTTCCAGTGTTGTCCAGTATAGATGTAAAGCTGGTGAACATGCCACCCAGGCTTTATGTAACACTTAAAATGTTACAAGTTTTAAACTCTGTAAACCTTTTTACTGATGATGATGATAATATATTATCAACACTTCACCTCAGGGAGGAGAAACAGGGGGACAAGGGAGGGCGGGAACAACTGAGTTGTAGGGGCTTTTCTACACGGTGCAATATTTGCAATATTTGTTTTTTGTCTCTTTCTTATATTTGACTGTGCAATAATCACTGTGCAATATACTCACTCAAATGAGCAATCCTATTTATCCATATTGTATATTCTGTATCTATATATGTGTATATATGGTGTATTTATGCTTATATCCCTACTCTCATCCCCCTTAATGTATCTGTAACATGCAACTTCTTTTGGTGCTTTGCTACTGGAAACTGAATTTCCCGAAGGAACCCACCCGAGGGATTAATAAAGTTTCATCTAACCATCCCAGTCATATCATATCTGGATGCTCTCAGTCTTCATTCAACCTTCAACACCTGCAATTAGGACTTGCTTCTGTTATGCGTGTCTGTACCCACCAGTTTTGTGTCCTCACATCACTGACATTAACTGACCGAGAAGAAATGAACCAACCCCCCCCCCCCAAAAAAATGCTCTTTGCATAGAAACAAACAGAAAACACCACCCCACTTTAGTTTAGTTTCACCCATTTCAGGCTAATTGCATGAACAGTAAAACCTTTAAGCGAAATCCTCCTGCAGGATATTTTGTATACATTGTTTGACAATGCATGTGCCTTTGGTCAGGTGGATATCACCATGTGAGGATTGGAGATCTGTTCAATGGGAGATACCATGTGATCCGTAAGCTTGGCTGGGGTCACTTCTCCACTGTGTGGCTGGCCTGGGATATCCAGTAAGTTTGCTTTCACAAAATATTATTAATTTTTCTGTGTTTAGAATTAATCACCTGACAACCTGATTTATTTATTAAAGAGATTTTACTTTTAGAGATCAATGTGCGTTTCTGTAATTCAGACACCAGTGTGGCTAACATTTGATCAGACTTATGTAAGTTGAGATGCTGAATTTCAGACAGAAATATTACCAGATAAATGGAAGGAAATATGCACTATAGCACTTCAGATTGAAGGTTGTATTTCGATTCGTTCAGAATTCCAGAAATGATGGCAAAAATCTGCCCAGGTTACCCGAATATATATTGGAAAAACATGGTACACGAATTGGGACTCATTTGCACTTACCCTGCTTCTGTCCAAGAAGCTATTTCACCAAAATCTTGCAAGAGAGTCAAAGGTTGCATTGATCCGGTTGATACCGCAGGGTCTGAGAGGTCAGCTGGTAAATATCTGTTACAATTACTATTGACAGCAGCAATAAATGCATTATGATTAGGTTGAAACATGATGCTCCTACATATCATATGTTGTTGGATATGGTCTGGGAGATCTCTTAAGGCTTCAGAAAGATTTATTCATCAGGAGTTGGAGACCTGTTTTTACAATATTTTAAACATCAAAGAGAGAATTTTAGAAATCAGTGTTTTAGATGGGGGCATGACATTTTATTTTATTTTTTATTTTAGTTTAATTGTTTCTTTTCTTTTTAAAAACTTATTATTATTGTTTAAAAAACGTGTTAGTGTCATACATCATTATATGAATGATGATGTACAAAATGTGTAAGAGTAATTTTACTACTAGACAGAATAGGTATAAGATGGTGATAGAATTCTAGCATAGCCCCAGTCTTTTTAAGCAAATGCAGCATACACTGAACTGTATAATGTGTTTTACTCACTGATTTTGTCCATGTAATTTCCAGGGAAAAGCGCTTCGTGGCCATGAAGGTTGTAAAAAGTGCTGAACATTACACTGAGACTGCTCTGGATGAAATCAAGCTGCTGAAATCAGTAAGGCACAGCACTTTACTTCACACAGACTCATAATGTAGATATCCCACAGCTCACATCACCGATTGTATCTCTTTTTTTATTTCTCCAGGTGAGAAACACAGATCCCAGTGACCCTTACAGAGAGAAAGTAGTGCAGCTGCTAGATGACTTCAAAATTTCTGGCATGAATGGAACTCGTATCCTATATTTTTACTCTGTCACAAATGAAACATTATCCTTTAAGTGGTGCAAACTAACCAGTTTCCTGACTCTATCAGCTGATGCCTGATCATTCTGTTAAGGAAGGCAGCTTAATTGCTAACTGCCCTTGTCCTTCCTGCTGTTGTTGTCTCAGTTTGATGGCATGGGCATAATGATTACATTCATTTCCAGGCCAATTAACTACAGTAGTGATGAACGTCCAAGGGTAAGACCACACCACCTCAGGCTGGATGTGAATTTAGCTCATCTGTGTTGTTGTGCTTCAGTGCAGACATGCTGACAAGATGCATTTAGACTGACAGTCATTGGAAAGTCAGGATATCGCAGTTTAATTACACTCCATATTTACATTTGTTGTTCAGACATTCATTTGAACTTTGTCTTTTCAGTGTGACAGTGTTTGATATAGTGAAGCTCATGCTATCTCCGTCTGTCTTAGAGCTCTGCGCTGTATCCTGTCTAGACATCCTTTAAATTAGTAGTGAAGCAGTAGATGGAGATTGTGTGTGTGATGTGAAGAAAACATGGGATTGTGTGTGTGTGTTCGTGTGCACTAGTTGATATAGAAAAACTCTAATTTGTAAACACTATTTCAGTCCTTGACTTCCATTTCTCCAGATGTGTGTATGGTCTTTGAAGTACTTGGGTACCACCTGCTTAAGTGGATTATTAAGTCGAATTATCAAGGGCTGCCTTCGCCCTGTGTTAAAAGCATCATACGACAGGTACTGAACAGCAAAACACAGACAGGTTCTAGTGGGAGAAAAGTGTTTGTCTTTCAGTGAAGAAGATGGTTATATCAAAACTATCTGCCATCATGAATGATGCACTTTAATTGATATTATGGGAGACGTTCACCTTTAACCCTGAATCTGACTTTTCTGAACTACAGGTTCTGCAGGGTTTAGACTATCTCCACACCAAGTGTAAGATCATACACACAGACATCAAACCGGAGAACATTCTGCTCACTGTGAATGAGCCCTACATCAAGAAGATGGCTGCTGAAGCTACTCAGTGGCAGAAGACTGGCACCGCACCTCCCTCGGGTTCTGCAGGTCACAACCTTTCTCATTCAGATCTTTGTGGTTTGATTGACTTGCTGCTTACAACTAGGAGATTTGCTGTTTAGGTTTGTCACCAGGTGCTGTGACTTGAGGTGTTTCAGATGTATTTATGTGGCGGTGAGCCATAATCTTCCAAATAATGCCATTAGAGAACTGTCACTGCAAGTAGTTTATTTTAAGATTGTGTGAAGAAGCACAAACAAGAAGTTCAGAATAAAATGTTTTTCCAACCCTATGATGTAATCCAGTGTATGCCATGTACGTATTCAGAGACTAGAGTGTTTGTGGATGTTTTTAATAAAAGTGGAGAGCTTAGCTGTGTGCTGCTATGAGTCACCGCTGGATTGGTTATGGAAATTACCAGCTTGCTTAGAGGAGTGTGACTCTCACTGAGCAGGGTGCCACTGCAGACAGTCTATTAGTACAGCACTGGTATGAATCAGCTCAGCCACCCGTACAGAATACTAATAATAGAGGGACTGAGGATGTGCCACATGTCATTCAGCAACATAAATCTCTATTTTTTTTCTCTTTCCTGCAGTGAGTACAGCCCCAACTTCCAAACCAGTAAGTTATCTTTTTGTGTTAAGCAGATCTTGTGCAGGACTTTGTACAAATTTACATTTGAATGAATTCAAAATGCAAACTATCCTTTTTCTCTCTTTCCCAGACGGCCAAAATGTCAAAGAACAAAAAGAAGAAGATGAAGAAGAAGCAAAAAAAGCAGGCCGAGATGCAGGAAAAGAGGATACATGAGATGGAGGGAGGAGCATTACCCGACACCCGAGAAGAGGAGGATGACGAGGAGACTACGGAGAACACTGAAGATACGTCCTCAGCCACTCTTTCTACGTCTGCCACGCAGCAGGACATCACTAACCATACTAACGCAGGTAAATGAGAGGACAGACCCTGGTCAGGGTCATGAAGGGCAGCCGATAAGTTTTAGTTTTATTTGCAGATTGAATTCATGTTTGATCGCACAAGATATATTTTTCTTTACAAAATAAATTATTCTCTTTTTGCTCCAGACTTGACTCCCGAAGAGCAGTCTGCTCATACGTCAGGGCTAAATGAACAGAGGGAGGTTACGGCCGATGAGGAGAACAGAATGGAGGTCAACTGCAACGGCCACGCCGCCACACCGGAGAATGAGACCAGTCTAGAGGTTCGAGGGACCGAGCAATGTACAGAGGAACAGGAGGATCAACAGGATGCAAAGCAACCAGAAAGCAATAAAGAGACCGACAATGCATTTTGTGACAAAGAAGAGCGGCCATCCTGTAACGGAAACTCTGATACCGAGCAGCAACGTCCCCCTGCTTCACTCAGTCCAGACTCTGTCACTGTAGAGCTAAAAGAGGGAGACAAGATAGAGGAGCAGATGGACACTCTAAAGGAGACCAAAAGAGAAAATGAAGAAGAGAACAGCCAAGATGGTTAGTTTGGGGGGGGGGGGTATTAATGTATATTAAGAAACTGATATCTAAAATACAGTGTTTACAGCAGCTGAGACCAGAGGAATCATGTTTTTTAGTTGTCAGATATGTATACGTCCATTTAGAATATTCTTCAAATTAGGGTGAAAGTTCACTTAATGATGAACTGATTGATGAACTGGTGGTCAGACATCATTATCACATCTTTAAACACGATTTCTGACTTTAATGATGGGTTCAAATAAAGTGGCGACATCTTTTCTAAAAGGAGACGTCTGGACAGAGTACAACTTAACTGGTTGGCAGAGACATACCTCATGTTTATAAGGCGGTAATACTCTTGGATATGCAAAGCCTCTTGATCAATGCATTGCTCGTGAAATTGGTACAATATTTTGCATGGCTACTACCACACTGCAGTATTAAGGATGGTAACCCATAAGAAGACTTGGAAAATGATTTGGAGTACACCAAATCACTTTTACCAGTGTGGCGCAATGAATATGGGTTGTAAGGTTTGTTTTTGTTTTTCTGTAGTGCGCATCGCTAATGCCCTCCAATAATTAATTATCTTGACAATATCCTGCAAAGAATTGCTCTGCAGACACACCAGCTTCACTTTCTTCTCCTCTCTTTAACAGGAGCAACAGGCAGCATGTTAGTAAACCCCCTGGACCCTCTCAATGCTGACAAATTGCAGGTTAAGATTGCTGACCTCGGCAATGCCTGCTGGGTGGTGAGTATAATATTCAATAAAAACTTTTTCTGTAAAAAACTTTTAAGCAGAACTTGAAACATTCACTGTGTCTTTTTACTGTAAATCTTCCAAGTTCATGTTTTTCATTTTGTGACCCAGTCTTCACTTTTCTGTTTTTATAGCACAAACATTTCACAGATGACATCCAGACACGGCAGTACCGCTCTCTTGAGGTGTTGATAGGAGCCGGCTATAGCACACCAGCAGACATCTGGAGCACAGCCTGCATGGTAAAACAGACTCACACACAGTACACCTGTATGCAAATGAACTGATCCCACAAACCCCCACTGAAAAGCAAACTTAACATAACTTATGTTATGCAGAAGCTTTCAGTGTGACGAGTAACATATGTGTCAAAACCCCTGGTTGAAGGAAAAGAGAACATGGAAAAGAGGAATATAGAGACACCATGGACAACAAACCGGACAAAACACAAACTGTCCAAGAGAGCAGGCAACAGGTTTTGATATAAATTAATGGAGAGTGGAGAAGATCTTAGGTCATTGTGAGAAGTCTCCAAGCAACCTTAACCTGAAGCAGCAGATCTAAAAAGATGGTGTAAGATCCCCTAATTCAGCCCTAATTATAAACTTTATCAAAAAGAAAAAATTAGACTTAACCTTGCAAGAAAGAGGCATCTTATCTCCTGAATCCAAACTGAGAGGGCTGATAGCTGAAGACACTGCTTCCCATTCTACTTCTGAAAACTAGGAACTGAAAGAAATCCTCTCCTCAGAGATCAAAGTGCTGTATGGCAATATTGTCTCATTATTAGGTTTATGATGGAGCTTTGTCATTCAGGATTTTGTATTTTAGGAGAAGGATTTTAAATTGTAGTTTGGGTTTAGAAGCGAGCCAGTGGGAGAGTATGATCTCTCTTTTTTTTATATTCGAGTTCTTATGTACTTCTTTCCTCAGGCCTTTGAGCTGGCTACTGGAGATTACCTGTTTGAACCCCACTCTGGAGAAGACTACTCCAGAGATGAAGGTTGGTGTGGTCCAAACATCCATATATCTAAGTTTAACTAGAGAGCAGTTCCAGCAAAGACGAGCTTCCTCCTACACCTCGTTTCGACATATTGTGACTTACGTCTTATACTGAAGAAACAATAGTGAAGTCCATCTGCTTTTGTGTTTTGCCGCCTCACTGTAGATCACATAGCGCTGGTCATCGAGCTGCTAGGCAAAGTCCCTCGGAAGCTGATCTTGGCAGGCAAATACTCCAAGGAGTTTTTCACCAAGAAAGGTAAACATGGCCGCCTGCTACCACCCCTGCAGCAGCTACATCCAGTTCAACCTTAATATACTCTCAGGTATTTGGTGCAGAAGTTTCTATTTTAGGCCCAACACCTGATGGCTCAAGGGAACAGCCATCTGCTCGGTTTGAACTAGCAAATTATAATCAGTGCAGCTATTTCAAGTTTATAGAGGTGGTGCGGTGGATTTATCCCCACAAAGTCTACAGAGAAAGTGCAGCATGAGCAGCAGTAAGAGATCCCACTGCGTGTTTACTCAAGAGATACTCAGGCTTGTTATAGAATCACTAAGAGTATAATACCAGGATAATTATAGTTATGAATATAAAATGGAGATAAATAGATTTGAAGCCTATGAATTCACTTCAGATGGTTCCTACATGCTCTGTGACATGTGATCCCACATAGTCATATTCAGTTACATGGGTGGTGAATAGATTCAAGATTCATTTAAATGTCATTATTCAACACATGCTTGTATAATAAACTTTAAGATTAGAAATCAAATATTAAAAAAATGTATTTTAGTCTTTATGTTAATAAATGGAACATGATTTTTGTGGTGACGCGAGGAGGATCAGTTCAGTAGTCTCACAGCCTGAAGGAAGAAACTGCAGCAAAGTCGCAGTGGATATTTCTGCATTGCTATGGGCTCTGCAGACACTTCATGACATCAGGATCAGTGATGCTCTGTCGATTGTTGCTGGTGATGTTCTGGGTGGTTTTAATCACCCGCCTGCAGAGCCTTCTGCTGGTGGGTGTGCATAATTTATACTGGGTTGCGATTCCTTCAGACAAGATGTTGTCTGTTGCTCTTCTATGCAAACAAGAGCTTTAGACGGGAATGTATCCTTGTTAAAGTTTGTTAAGTAGTATACTTTGTGAGCTGTCTTTATGCTGTGGTTGTGTGTGTGAGTGGTTTCCAGGTAACTGAACCTGTTCACCTGCTTCACTTTGCTCATGTAAACAGGGACGTGTTTGTCTAGTTGTTGGCTAAAATGTGGAGGTGTATTGTTGTGATTGACGACTGCGAAAAGTGATTGTTTGTGTCGATGAAGCAGCAGATTGAATTTTAAATGTGTTTTCCCCCCAGGTGATCTCCGGCACATCACCAAGTTGAAGCCTTGGGGTCTGTTTGATGTCCTGGTAGAAAAGTATGAGTGGTCCAAAGAGGAGGCCCACTCTTTCAGCAGCTTCCTGCTTCCCATGCTGGACCTGGTGCCTGAAAGAAGAGCCACCGCAGCCCAGTGCCTCTCCCACCCATGGCTCTCATCCTAGAGGATGCCTGCACACACAGCTGCATATTGTGAAAAGGATAAGATGGGTTTGAAGGGCTTAAGCTTGAAAACGTACAGTAAGCAAATACTTCCATTTCTGTGAGAGCCTGTGATTCCATCGTGCCTGTAGCCTGTTGTCACGGCTTTCACGGGTCTACTTACATTCATCGGGAAGCATTGAGACGATAGACAGACTGCTGCTGAATCTCTGTTCTGTTAGGGAAGGAGAATAAAACAGGCTCAAAGTACTCTCTCAGTATTTATGACTTTTTGTTACTGGCTGAATAGAACTTATTGATCTTATTTTCCCTTTTTTGCCAGCTCCAGCTTTTTCTCTTCTGCTCATTATTCTCTGTATTTTAGACACAAGAGATCATCAGGTTTAAAAGGACATTTTTCTACAAACGCAGAAAGGTACAGGATGCTAACAGAGTTGTAACAGTCACCATCAGAGCTACTTTCGATTATCATATAGGTCACTTAGAAGTCAAATTTGTCTGTTTGCTCGTCATCATGTTAGGTGTACCAGCTTTTAAGCCTTTAAAGAGAGTGCAGAGAGCTCAAAAGTGATAACTACATATTGCTTACTGGAATGAAGAGCAGCTAGTAGCTTTCAAAGCACCGTTATCAGAGAACTTTTTACATTTGTATACAGGTGCAGGTCATACATCGGGAGTTCAGAATCACACTGATAGCCAAACTGTTGTGTTGGTTTCTTGTGAAAGTAAAGATTTTTAGCTTCAGCATTAGTTTATGTTGACTTAAGAGAAGTACTTGACACATTATAATGGGAAGAAAAAAAAATCAGAGCCCTTCTCTTTTTCGTGCATGAGTTGGCCAAATGCTCTTTTACACCCGGGTTGCTTTTTTTTTTTTTTACCTGATAAGTTTAATTCCCACATTCACAGTCAAATCCAGCGATAGGTGGATTCACATCAAGTGTACAGTACAGTGTACCAAAGAGTCGGACTTTGATTTCTCCTTTTTTTGAGCTTGAAGCTGGAACAGAGTGAGGGCACAGTCAGTTCTTTTACACGTTCTTTCTTTTTTTTATCTTTAAAGGTGTGTATTCAGGTGTATAAGAAGGTGCTGGATGTGAAAATCATAGATTGTACTTAAAGTTATTGTAATATTCCTTTCAGTCCTATCAGAAACATGTTGCTTGTTTTTCTATAAAGGCTCGACTGTCCATGTCTCATCATTTGATTATTTTTTTTCTTTAGGCAGTAAGAATAAATAATTTTCAAAGTTTCTCTGGGTTGTTTATGTCATTGCTTTCCACAGTTTTTTTCCACTTAAATATTCTCTCCATCACTGAACACAGATGCATGTGAAAACACAAATGTCCAACAGAAGTAGCACAAAATGGTCTTTGAGCTGGCAGCAGCGTAGTGCAGGGTATGTGCAGGGATTGGAACCCATGTGAGAGTATCACACGTAATGGGTGGAGTCAAATGAAGACACTTAGGCAGCATCTTCCTAAACTTAACAGTATTTACAGATGTGAAATCATCCCTTAAGTCAAATATCTACTGTATATGCATATGGAAATATGTCTCTTAAGAGAGCATGAATGCTAAAAATAAATTACAGATGCACAAAACCAAACGTTATCAGCTTGGGTATCATTTTATTGTTAGCGCCATTAGATTTCTCACATAGAGAGAAGGCAACAGTGGCTAATACTGTCAGGCTCAAAACTCAAAATGATAATAACATTTCAGCAATTAACATTTATTTAAAAAAAAACCAAAATGCTTAAAAAATGTAAAGCAGCAAATAAAAGAGCTAAATCTGATGTAATAAGTGGCTTTTACTGACGTCAATCTGAAGCTGTAGCCTTGGAGATGAGGATGGGCAGTGACTCTGATGAGCTCATTTTGAGGCAGAGATGGACTCTTATTTCTTCAAAGTGACTCGAAGCCTCGGGATATCCTCTGAAGTCAGTGGCACTCTTCATAAAATCTCATCCATTCATGCCAGTGTCCACTGGGCTCTATGCGTTATCTGTAGTCAAGAAGAGACATAGCTGGTGTAAATATAAGCCAATAATAACTGAAGGAGGATACAAATACATCCTCATATAGTATTGTTCTCACCATACACACAGCTAAGATTTAAGGAAAAGCATTCCTTCCCCTCACCTTTTTCCTCCACCTGGAAGTCTTCGGGCAGCAGCTTGTCCTGTCTATTGCCCAGGCTGAAGGCCAAAAAGGAGAGGATGAGGGAGTCCATGATGCTGATGATGGCCAGGATGTAGGCCCAGCGCACTGTGCAGTTGCCCAGTGTGTACTTGTCAGTCCGCTGGCCGCACATGCGCTTCACCTCATCCGAATCCCAGCCGTCAGGATAGATCATGCAGCCGATCACCATACACGTACCTGAGAGGAGAGAAGGCACAGGCTGGCGAGTGCTGGACTTCAGCTCTGTCTGTGTGATGGTTTTACTTTTATCTTACTAGTGTTTTGAAATTTTTTTATTCAAAGTCCAAAAACATGCATTGATTTGTGGTGGGAAACCTGTAAAAATGAATAGATGTGCACACTGTGACAGACCATCTTGCTGCTTTTGACAGGCTCGGGCAACAAATGACAGCGAAACCACCAGAGAAATTAAATATACACTGTGTTCATTCAGGTAGATACACACACACACACACACACACACACACACACACACACACACACACACACACACACACACACACACTTACAGAGTTTAGTTGCCTAGCAACTCCAGAGCATCTCGACTCAAGAAAGATGAACTTGTTCATCTATTATTGACTCCACTGACAGACAGCTAAGACCTCTTGCCGTCCCACCTCAGCACAAGGAGGTGCAGCACAGCACACACTTGCCTCACATCTCACTCTCACTTTCTGATCCTCACAAAACCTCATCTTCATGCATTTCTGAGGCTCACTTTATCAAGTCCTCTTTAAAATTCACTACATATTTGAATACATTAGAAAGACCCTTTCAGTTAAACTAATACAGCAAAATTCTTTCCTTAAACTGACTTTATTAAGCTCACACCTCAGGGGCCTCTGGTTCAGCGAATTAATGATCCCATCCTCGTAACAGACCCGATAAGTTCTGCATCCACTCACTCCAAAGAAGGCCCTCAAAACAGCAATTTTCAAACAGCCCTCTCAAAGCCTGCATCCAAATATCCTTAAAAATGAACTTGGTGTCAGAGCCAAAATGACATTGCTTCTCATGAAGATGGATTTACAAGAACACGTGCGAAAGGGGGAGAGGAGAAAGTGTAACAGCACACCTTCGGGTTAATCTCATTACTTGGTTCATTACAGGCCTCTCCTTTCACTCGCAGGTACATCTGCTCACAAACTGCTTCATGTTTCAAACAGAATCATGTTTCAGCTCTGTCTGTGTCTGCGAGTCTGCAGGGAACTACAGAAATGTCACCAAATGCTTAAATTCATAGCTTTTCGTTTCAGCTTTGGGCTTTCGTACATGTTTCAGACTCTGAGTTTACCGCTGTGAGCCACCATTATCCTTCACAACCTTCTTACAGATCTGTTCCTAAATCTTAGTTTAATGTGTATTCATTTAGTTTCCAATTTGACTGTTTATTAGCTGGATTCATTCCTTTCCTTGGCTTTTTTAAATACTTACATGAAGACTTGCATGAATAAATACATTTTTAAAATACATAAACAAGATATAACCGTACAATAGCAAAATTATGAAAATAATATCTACATGCAAGCTCTACGGGTAGTGGAAGTCTTCTCCAATTCAACTAACTAACTGCATTCTACATCTGTATGATCAATACATCATATAAAACTGTTAAGCCTCTAAATATTGCTCAACTAGTGCCAGTCTTTATCTGCAAAATACTAATATAGTGGAGTAGACTAAATGTACTGTATACATAGGTTATTTTCAGTTTTAAAATGATGTTTCTCTTAATTGGAGCCTACATGGTGATGCTGGTAACACCATGATGATGGTGTTACTTTCCAATAATGTAAACTCTTACTGTGAGATCTACCCTGTAATTTAAACACACTTAAAAACTCTTGAAACTTTTTTAGTCACAGCCTGAAGCTCACTGGAAGCCAGCTGCATCCAGGCACAGATCTTGTAGACGCTCCCCGCGTTGCAGAAGAAGAAGAGGCTGAGGCAGACGATGCTGCCCACCACCAGCAGCATGGAGATCCCCACGAAGAACATGGCCGTCTTGAAGGCGCCGGACGGGATGGAGCCAAAGTCCAGCGCGCTCCCTTTGCAGGTGAGCTCCGAGGTGAGCGCGTTCCCGATGCAGTAGTGGAAGAGGCCGAAGTATCCGGCCTGCGGTGTGTTGACGCTGTCGCCGATCCAGTAGGGCTGGATGAACACCACCACGGTGATGACGGCGAAGGTGATGGTGAAAACGATCCAGAGCACCCCCATGGCTCGGGCGTTACGCACATAGTTGGTGTGGTAGATTTTGGCTGCCTCCTGAGCAGGAAGCATGGCGAGAGGTGGAAGAGCTTCTCAACAGAAGGAAAGAAAGAAAGAAAAAAAATGAGAATTTAAGTGAAGGAGTTAAAAAACGAACAAGTGAGCACCTTCAGTGTCCTGCTCAAAAACATCCGCTGACAAAGTCCTCATTCTTTAGTAAGCGCTTGCTCCAGTGAGATGGGAATAGCTCCAGTGGTTCTCTTTGCAATTCAAAACCACGGACAGCTCCCGGTACTGAAAACACACCTGTATGAGAGACGCGCTCCCAGTGTCTTAGTGCGCCCTGCAGAGGTGAACAGTCCCAGAAACCACTGCATACCACGGCAGCACTGACTCCACCGCATTCAATGAGGGGATGTTTGTTCTGGATTTCACCTGGCAGGGGAGGTTCCTCTAGGAAGGCTGAGGTAGTCAGGTAATAAATGATTAATGGTTAAAAGATCCGCTGGATAGAACAACACAGGATGGCAAGCAAGGCTGTTTCACATGTAACAGCATGTGTTGCTTAATCAACTTTCTTCTTTTTTTCTAATATCTATCTATCTATCTATCTATCTATCTATCTATCTATCTATCTATATTACTGCTGTAAACCTGCTGTACTCATATAACATGAAAAAAGCAAAGTAGGCTACTGAATACAGAAAAAAATCCAATTTGAATTGTGTATTTGTTAATATATTCATTTGCTCTTAAACAAATGTACTAAAAATGTTAAACAGTTCAATATTAGTGTTTATTTGTAGCAATGTTTTAGCATAAAGGAGCATGAGAAATTAAAATAAAGATGCATTTAAGCGCTGTAGGCTTAGAATACTGTGCAAAAATAGTGAGCCACTCCTCATTTCGTGTAATGTGGCAAACCTCAGCCTATTCTTCCTGTTTCCCTTCATTAAGAATGACTTTTATCACAGCCACCCCTTTACTGAGACCCCTTCTGATGAAACTTCAGGAAAACATAGATGGGTCAGATGCATTTCTCAGGTCTTATGTCAGGTCTATGCTGGATTTGTAAAATTTCTTAATAATGTTCACCTGCTGTAAATATTTGTTTAAGCCTACTACTTCTTCTTTTGCCCTCAACTTGTCCAGATTTCTCTTTCTTTGCTGTTTTTTAACGACACACTGCATAGTTGTCCTGATATGCCAGAACAGCTAATAACTATTTATGAATAGCCATGTTGATGCAAAAATACTGTATTAGACTGCATTGTATTTGACATTTTTTGATTAACAAGAAACAAACAAACAAACAAACAAACAAACAAATTCTTTTAAAATGGTCAGGTACAAGCACTGAACTGAAAATAAAAAAGGACCAGAAAACATAGAAATGAGGGGCTTTTGCACAGTCCTGTGCACTGTGATCGTCACCTTCACACTAGACAGCATAGCAGGGGCGGCACCGAGGGGGAGCACTGAGGGGGAGCACTGGCCACCCCCAAAATTTGCCCACTTTGTATGTCTCTTACAATTTCCCGTCGTCAGCCCCTCCCCTCCGCTGTGCCCCTGCACTGCTCTGTTTTTGGTGTTCCACCCCAGTATTTTTAGTGGCCTTCATATGACCACCCCTATGAAACAGTTCTGGAGGCGCCCCTGCAGCGTGGGCACAAATCCACAAAAACCCTTCCACATTGTTATAACCACACCTAGCATCACTTTTCAATAGATTCAAAATAGCTATTGAATATTGTCCCACCACCTCGATGGGACAAGACTCGGCTGCCCGTCTGCATGTAAAAGACAAAGGTCACTCTTTCAAGGACGCCAGTGTTCACATTTTGGACAGAGAGGACAGATGGTTTGAAAGAGAAGTAAAAGAAGCCATTTATGTCCACTGTGAACGACCATCTTTGAACAGAGGCGGTGGTTTACGACACCAACTGTCTGCCATCTATAATCCAGTTTTGTGAGCCCTTCCCACTTTAATGCCCACTCACACCCTGGGCCATTTGACCTCAGTAAATCACATGATAGGGTGGGGCTAGGTTTCACTTTGGGTTCACCCGAACCGACCTTGGCTGATTGTGACCCACACCTTTTCGCAACTTGGCTTGTGTGATTAGGTAGAGGATCCATAGTCGGTCCACGACCCTCTTGGGGACACTCCCATAGAGCTTAAAATCTGGGACTCCCCATCAGTTGCTCTTAGAAGTGAAGAAGGTTCTCGGATGAGAGGTGAAATGTCTTCAAGGAAACTTAAAGAAGTCCAACCTCCTTAGACAGCAACATCGTATGCTTACCCTAACAACTCTGAGATTTTATAATGTAATCCTGCTATTCTGTGCCGAAGCTCTCCTAACATCCCTCAGACAAATATCCGGAGTTTAAGGAGGGACATGGTGACTCCAGCTTTCTTTGCACGTGTTGGATGGAGCGATTGAACGAGACGCTGTGACGTCTGCAAGCTATTTCTGGATGTACTACAATCAAACACTAGATGGAGCTACAGAGCTGCAGTCTCATCTAGCGGCCTCACCTTGGCACTTAAATCAATCTTCCTGTTTTTGTCTCAAATGATTTCTCAGACAAATTCCAAGCTGCCAGATTTTTTCAGAACATATTCTAACATAAAGTTAAAAAAGGGAGAGAGGTAGCTTTTTCTGATAACTACACATTGAAAAGCATTAGAGAAGTATTAATAAATACTTCATTATTTCTAAAGCATGACTTTTCCTTAGCATGCCATTCATATACACTAATGTTAGTGGTTTATTAATGATGAAATAGCTCGTATATAACATCATATTTAACTTTAGCAAGTTCTTTCAGAACACTTTTGGCTTTTCCTGCCACAAATCCTTGTCACGCCCTTCGGAAAGTGTACTGTGAAGCTTCCACAGGATAGGCTCTCCAGCCTCTCTTCAAGCACTATTTCATTCTATAAATGCTTTGTAAGACATAGATCGTCCTAACTTTAGATGATGTACACACAAAAGAGTTAACTAACAACTCGTAACTGTATGAATTAACCATGAATTACCATATGAAATAAACAGCTATGGAAACGTTTCTATTATCACACTCACAAACAACTAGCTCATTTTATAAGCTGTGTCTGTATTAATGTGCATCTAAATTCACTGTTAATAGTTTATGTCACTTTCTAAATTATGTCATTAACAGCTCCCAAAAAACAGGACCTGATGTAAAACTTTCTTTAGTAATGTAGGAGTAATGTTTTCTAAATGATGAACTACATAATCATTGATAGTGTCCAGTTAATATAAAGTGTTGACATTTTTGTGATATGGCACAAGATCCGATTTGGATTCAGATCTTGTGCCATAAAAAGTTTTATAAAAACGTATTTGAGCATTACCACCTGCTCTCTTTGCAGAATGATCACTTTAGAGATCATATGTTTATATGTAATCATTATTATTATTGTTATTGTTATTATTATTATTACTTAATGTAGCATTTCATTGGGTAGGTTTATGATGGTAAATAATGTCTGCTAATTATATATTGTTTAATAAACCATATTGGCCTCTAACAGTTGGTGACCTTTGAACCCAGTTGCTCCTGTAAGATCAAGTAAACTGTTCTTAATTTGTTTTCACCTTTTTCTGTTTTCTGTTTTTTTTAAATGGCAGTTACATTCATATGCATTCATCTCTGCAGTGCATTCCTTAAACAAATGTTAAAGCATGGTCACAGTTTTTATTTTTGGCCCACACAAACTGCTCATATGTGAAAATGTGAAAATACATAAATGCATGGACTTTCTTCCACTGCTGGTATATTGGATCTTGTGTTAACCTTTCAGTTTCTCCTCAATAAATATCTGAATACACAAAACTTCTAGCTGACTTAAAAAAAAGCTGATTTATTGCTTAATTTTAGATCTAAAATTCACAATTTTCTCTAAGAACCTTCTGCTATCTGTTTAGATTAGC